GCAAAACACTTTAGCTCGCAAAGACGAATTTAGAAAAAATTAACTACAAATCGCTTCAATTTCTCTGGAAGTTATGGTAAAACCATCAACTGCAAACCAAAAAATGTACATTGTGAATGAAGACTAGGGATTTTTTTGGAAATTTGCAATCTTAAATCTGCAATTACGCATATAAAAGTTACTAATTCAGAATCTGGATCAGCAAAACTCTTTGAACCTTGCAAGTTTGCAAATAGCAAGAACTAAACACTGGACTTTACAACACCCAATTTTGAAAGACTACTAAATGGGATTAAAACAAACATTACATTTTAATTATGAAATTTGAACTTTAGAAACTTTCAAACTTCCGCCAGACGGAAACCTTAAACTTGGAAAAATCATAAGAACGTTCCACTTTAAAGTATACAGTTCACAGTTAAAACAGACAAAAATTAAAGAAATTGTTTTCCACCTCATACCTAAAAGTTCGAAAACCTCATTAAATTTTAATTTTCCAACTTTACGTTAATTCGACCAAAATATTACAAATTTACGCTAAAATTTTGAATACTTATTTTGACTTTTTGACTATCTTTCCCTAGAGTGTAGCCTAAAAACAATATTGCAAACAGCGAAAATCTGGGTCTGAATAATCATGAAAACAATTTGAGCTTGGCTAAAATCGCGAACTAAAAATTGCAAAAATGCATAAGAAACTGGCCAATTAAAGGCTCAATCGCCAACGGCAAACAATTATTTTTTTCTCAGGAAATAACAACATATTTAAGCTTCAGTACGATAAATATTAATCAATTTTTAATAAAAAATCCGAAATAGTTTAGAAGCTTTCAAACATGCGGACGTTAACAATTGAGTGTTAAACTTGCAAAGCTCTTATTTAAGAAAAGTGCAAAAAATCGGTTTAAAGAACACTTCTAAAGTTGGCTTAAATAGAGTAAGGATAAGCAAGTGCAAAGGAAAGGAAAAATGCAATTATGAAAACTCAAACCTTGCCTGACTGAAAACTCAGACCCAGAACAAGTAAAACCGTTCGAACTGCGATAGAACGTTACAGAGGATAAAACTACAATGAGAAAGTTTCAATCGAATTTAGAAAATCGGTAATTTTTTGCTTACTTTCTAACCCAAATTTATAGCTAAATCTCACAATGCCAAATTTTGAAAAATGTTTAGAAAATCGAACTTGAAAGCGCTTCAATTCATCTTTATGGCGCAAACTATCAACTACAACAAAAAAAACAAATTGTGAGGAAATACTGGGGATTTGACTAGTTTGCAAGGAAACTTGCAAACTTCTGTGATGAAATTAGTAAACTTAAATGTGCAATTACGGTTATGAAAGTCACTAACTCAGAATCTACATGAGCAAAACTGTTGCAGTTTGGACAGAAGTTAACATTTGATATAAAACTACATACAATAGAAAATAATTTAAGAAATATTTAGAAATTCGGTAATTTTTGCGAACTTGGAAACTTGTTTGACAAGTTTTCACAACTTTTTTAAAGTCGGATTAGAAAATGTTTCAATTTTTACTTATGAGCGTAACGACTAGACCTAGATATTTATGCTGGAAATTTTTGGCTTCAGAATCTATACAGAAGTGAATTATCCCCTAAAGAGCCTCAACACTGAACTACCATAAAATAATAAGACAATTCTAATAGAGCATACAGAAAACAATTTTTTGACTAAAATCCTTGATAAAGTAACCTAAATTGAAACATAATTTGAATATTGCAAGACACACTTTGAAATGGAGGAAGCAAATTCCTCCTACCAAGTGAAAAAAGACAGTATCGGCTAAAAAATTAGGTCTTTCTTGGGAAACAATAAATAAGGAAAAATCATCTTGCAGTTTATCGAGCAACACAATCCATATGTTTCAGAGAGTTACTTCAGCAAAAAAAAGGCTTTTTGAGAAACTTTGCTCGCTTCAAAGCACTCCAAACTTAACCTTCTGGCACACTTCAAGAGCGCTTGTTATTTGAACAAAAACAGCATTAAACCAACTAAACCTTGCTATTTTTCTTGCAGTGATGCGTCCATCTAGCAACAGTATGCAGGTTTCCAACCAATGTGATAGGAAACCATATGTGACTCCTCCTCATTCTACTGCATTGTCCTCTTCATTGCCTTCGCCGCCTACATCAAACACACCTCACACTTTCTACGAAGCCCCTGTGAAGTACAGTATGTAAAATCGCACTGTATAGTAGCCATAGAGTTTATATTTACGTTTATTTATAACTAGACCTGGTTTAGTTAGCGATTAGTCCAATGGAAATGTGCAAAAATCAACAATTATTGTGCTGACAAATTTCCAGTTTAGTTTGTATCGTTATGAAATAGTCCAGAAAAATGTTTGGATCTGGACGTTTTTCAGAAAACTCGAATGGGACACCAAGTGTCCAGCTTTTTGTTAAGCGAAATCATACAGCTAATTCAGCCAAAATGTGTAAATAATTTGTTATATTGCCAAGCGAGCAATTAAGTGAATATAAAAATAAATTGTATTTTTTAAGCTCATTATTGCGAAAAGTTTGTAATTACTTATTTATGAATAAAAACTACCGTATTATATTGATACCAGTTGAATTATTTGTTGTGAACTGTTTTCTGTCCATGTTCTCTATAAAAAGCCCACGAAGAACTTCTGAAACAAGGTAAGGATGTTGTTATTAATAGCTTTACCTCGAATGGGATTCGATTGAAAAACCACAATTTGCGGTCTTTAACACAAGGCACGCTTTGAATGACTAATTACTTGGGGCCTACGTGCACTTTTATATAAATTCGCTTAACTTTCCAGTTGGAAAAGCAGAATTCTGGCTAATGTTACTAATCCATTCCACTGACCAGAAAATTTCCAAAACTTATGACTGTGGTGGTGGCCCAAACCTACATCAAACCACAAAATTAAAAAACCCACAAACTACTACCCTCGAATATTTACACAATCTTTTTTCTAATGCCTATTATAAGCAGCTTTAAAGCTCTAATCTGTATATCCAAATATAAGTCCTAATCTGTTTTAATTCGAAGAAAATGGCCAGTACTTGGAGCCATCAACGCCGATTTTAAGTGCTCACGTTAACAGTTCATATAACTTGTTCAATGAAAAGCTTTTTTGTGAGCCAGAAAACCTCTCGAAATACCGAAAAGTCTTATTTATAGGTACCCATTATCCAATACTATAAATCTATATGGTGCGTTCTAGCCTATTAAGTTTGATAGATGCAAAGTGTCATTAAAAATAAACTTGCAAATACAAGAGCTTTTAGTGGTTTGGGTGCTTCGAACCTTTCAAGAAGAGACAACAAGGCTCCACACGATTGGCCTAATGGAAACGATCATAACGGAGCAGGTTTTTAATCCAGAAAAGTCCTTTCTGGTTGGCCCTCAAGAGTTTTTCCAACCTTGGCCTTGCTCAAAACAAAAAATATAACTTTAGAGAAAAATTGTCTTAACAAAACATGCCTCACAGAGAACTAAATGAGCCTGAAACCGCTGCTCAAGGAGAGTTTAGACAGATTTTCGAGGATTGTATAAATAAAGCCTTGCTGGAAAGTAAAGCTATTAATTTAAATAGATAAACAAAGAAGCGATCAAAGAGGTGTAAATTGGGAAATAAAAATATAAGATGGCTTGCACTACTGCGCTCTAACGCAACTTTGAAGGTTTTGGTTGGGAAATGGGTCAAAACTACCAGCAAAACCCTGGGTATTTTAGCGAATAGTTATCGATTTTTCTTGTAGTTGCATATAATGAGGTGCGAAGTAAGCAAAGTCAGCTAGCAGCCCATTTAACTTTAAGCAAACAACCAATGGAGGATTAAGTATAGACAAGTTCCAAAAATAAAAGCGCTAATAGATCACGTTGAATAATTAACACCAATAGATTATGCAACAGTTATACAAATTAATCAGATGAGGCAGTGATGCCTCCTTATGAGGTCAAAAAAGTTTAATCAGAAATGATGTAATAAAATGAAGGCGTTAGCAAAGATAAAAACGAACTACAGCAAACATGAATAGACATTTATTTTTTCAATTTATAATCTATTTAACTTTAAACAATTATCCAATAGATCAGAGTACACTTGTACAAATTCCCCAAAAATTTCAACCAGAAAGTATGATAAAACGAAGGAATCAGCATAGATAAAGAAGAAATACAGCTCATTTTGTTAGTTTATTGTTAATATTCGTAATTTTAAATTGATAAACTGTTTATCTTTAGGCAAACAACCAATCGAGAATTAGCCATAGACAACTTCCAAAAATAAAAGCCGTAATAAAGTCGAATAATTAACACCAAAATATTATAGAATAGTTATACAAGTGCATTAGACGAAAAGCAGTGAAATTCCCGAAACAGCTTAACGAGAAAGTATATTAAAATGAAAGCATTAGCAAGGTAAAGAAAAAATACAGCAAACATGAATGAACATTTTTTTATTCATAACTTTTAATTTATAATCAATTTAACATTAAGCAATCAACCAATAGAGAATTAAGTACAGACAAGTTAGAAAAATAAAACGCTAATAGATAAAATTCATTAATTACTTAACAATGAAAGCAGTGAAATTCCCCAAAAATTTTAACCAGGAAGTATATTGAAATGAAAGCACCAACATAGACAAAAAATGCAATAAAAAAAACAAACGAAATCAACAGTTAAATCCGAGGAAAAACGATCAAAGAATTTTCCACCTCAACCTAAAAGTTCAGCAAACTCATCAACTTCTAATCTGCAGGTTGAATCGAAGAATCGGGCAAGGACATATTTTTATTTATAAAACTCAGTAAGTAAGTTAATTACAGTCTAATACTTTAATAATGGAAATACAAATTTAATTTTAAATAGAGCTCAGAAATGGTTTAAAAGATTTCAAAGAACTAAATTTGCAGAACTCCAGTTGAAAAAGTGCAAAAAATCTTCGAAACTTGATTGAAGTGTAGCAAGGAAAATAAACCGCGAACGAAAAAAAATGTAATTATGAAAACTGTGGAGTCTTTCAAAAACCTTACGTTACTCACGAACTTCAAATCTGCTTGAGTTAAGAAGTTTAAAAGTACTCAAACTTTGTATCGAAGAATTGGACAACAGTAAAGTTTTAAAATTTTCTTAATGTATAACAGCAATCTCGCACTTAAATAAGAGAAATATTAATTTAATTGCGATTAAGCTCAGCAAGTAGAAGCAAGGGCGGATCCAGAGGGAGGGTCCTGGGGGTGTGTCCCCCTTGTGCTGGGTTTATGTCGACTAAAGATAATTTTTCAAATTTTATAGAAAATATGCTGATATTATAATTATATGGTGTATTTTGATCATTGAAAATGCGTTCGAAAGCTAGTAATTTTGTGTAAAAATCATATTTTTCAAAATTGGAGTCGGTTGAGGAACTTCGGTTGAGGAAGGAAAGTCGTAAGAGTTTGAAGGTCGAAAAAACGATTTTTCAAGACAAATAATATTAGGTTTTTGGGAAAACAGCTTTTTGTATGTAGAAATATTCTGCATAACTGTTAATATCGGGCAATTTGGAAATTTTGAAAATTGTTGAAAAACGCACGATCTATTATAAAAACTGCATCTTCTCTCATCAATCTCAGAAAATTGCAATCGGTTGAAAAACTTGAAAGTTATGATGATTTGCAGGCCGAAAAGACGAGCTTTTACCTCAATTAACTGATTTGCAAATTGTATTATTTACACATGCACTGTCTGTGAGAAAATTTGTATTTGCAACAGTTTAGAAGAAAATGGGCTCGGAATATTGGCAAGTGTAAAACTCTCAAACTTGCACATACTTCCACGCTTTACCCTGTAACTAGGTCAGTTATCAACATTTTTCAGAAATTCGAAACTCTCAAAAAGCCCATAGACGTGGTGTAAAAAGTTGTTTCAGGGCCAAAGTTCATTTTGGTCACCGTTTTACCACCAGGGGAGTCAACATTTTCAAATACGTGAAGCGCTGGATGTTCCTGGCAACACGCTCTTTTGCTACAAGCATTGTGCCTCCTGGAAAGACGAGAGAAAATTTGAAATTTGTTTAGTACACTACGAGTTCATAGATCGTAAAAAATCCTTTCCAGCTTTCTGCAGGCTGGCGCCCCATGCTCCATTTTCTTAACGGCACTTAAACACACAATGAAAGCCCATTCCGAATTGAAAAATTTAATCCTGTAGTATGCAGTCAGAATATGCTACCGCACTTCTATTTATACTATTTACACTATACTTTTTATCTAAGAAAGCGATTTACACGACACAAAAAACATGCGACCTGTTGGAAAGTTGTAAGACAAACTCTAATTAGCGAAAAGAGACATTTAAAAAAAGTGACTTGATGTAACTGAAAAATAACATGTTACCAAATATTTAATGGATAGAAGTAAAAGCAAACAGCTTAATTAAAAACTAAAGATAATTTAAAAATTGACGTCGACTGATTCATAAGGATCCCAAGAAAGAGAATTTTAGAGGAAGAATCAATAAATATCCTGGAACATGAATGTTTGCAAGCTATAAAATAAACTGTTATTAGTAGATAGAAAAGCAGAGCAGTCATTTAAAAAATGCTACATGAAATACGCAAAAGGCCCAGTAAAAACAAAGAATCATCAAGTAGAACCAAATCAGAATTTATGAATGTTTTCGTTTACTCGCATTATTGAAAGCAACGGAATAATTGGGTTTTTCCACAGAAGCCTACGCATCTATATTTTGCCAGATTTTTAAAAACGCTTTCAAATTCTGCATTAAATTCGTTAAAGTGATTGATAAGTGAGGAAATTTACTTTTAGAAAAAACTGGAAAATTTTCACAAATTATGTTTTGTATAAAAAAGCGGAGTTTAAGGTCTCTATTACTAGATGAAAACTAGAGCTTTATTTCTCAACTGGTTCTCTAACTATGAGCCAAAACCCAACAGCGTTTTAGAAAACCCGCAGTAATTTTGGATTATTACTCTTTGCGTAAAAACTAAAACATTTGTAGAATAACGTTTTCTATTAGCTGTTTTCGTTGAAAGTGGTCTAAGTGTAAAATAAACTTTCAAACTTCCGCTCGACTGAAACCTAAAAGTTGAAAAAATGCATAAGAAAGTAGACAGTTTACAGTAAAAACAAAGAAAAATCAAAGAAATTCTTTTCCACCTCAGCCTTAAAGCTCAAAAACCTTATTAACCAACATGATTGGGTTAAAAATGTCAATTTTCCAACTTTACGTTAAATCAAATAAAATATTAAAAGTTTACTATGAAATTTTGAATACTTACTTTAACTTTATTTCCACAGTGCAGCTTTAAAAAAAATATTGCAAACAGCAGAAATCTGGTATGAATAATCATGAAAACTTTCAATTTGAGCTTGGCCAAAAACCGCGAACTAAAAATTGCAAAAATGCTTAACAAAGTGACTAATTGAAAACTCAATCGCCAACGACAAACAATTTCATTTTTTCTCAGAAAATAACAACAGCTTTAATCGCCAATAAGATAAATATTAATTCAATTTTTAAAAAAAGCTCAGTAATGGAACATTTCAAACATACGGACGATTAAAAACTGAGCGCTAAACTTGCAAAACTCTATTTAAAAAAAAAGCAGAAAGTCGGTTGAAAGACCGCTTCTAAACTTGATTAAAGTAGCGCAATGAGAAACAACTGCAAGTAAAAGAAAAAATGCAAGTATAAAACTCTGTGATCTTCTATAAACCTTCAAACATTAGCTGGAATGAAATTACCAACCCAAACTAGCAAAAGGCTCTTAGAAAGTGACTCAACACTCAGAACCAGGACAAGAAAAACTGTTGATAGAATGTAACATGAGGATAAAACTATAATGAGAAAAGTTTCTTTGAAATTTAGAAAATCGGTAACTTTTTGCTTACTTGTTAACCCAAACGTGTATCAAGAAATAAGCGCTAAAGCACACAATGACAAATTTTTTGAAATTTGTGGAAAATCGACCTGGAAATCGCTTCAATTTCTCTGAGAGTAATGTAGTAAGTAACCACGTTGTCTCTTATTTAGACTAGGAATTTTTTTGGAAACTTGCAAACTTCAGTTTTTCATTATTAAACTTAAATTAGCAATTGCGGTTATGAAAGTCACCAACTCAGAATCTAGATGAGTAAAACTGTTGTAATTTTGACCAAATTTAACATGCATTTAAAACTACCATAGGAAATAGTTTCAGAAAAACTTATAAACTTACTAATATTTGGAAACCTTTGAAACCTGTGGATATCAGGAAATAACCACTGAAACTTGAATTGCCGAGTCTTCACAGTTTTATAGAAAATCGGCTTCGTAAACGCTTCAATTTTTACTCGATGTTCTGGAATAGAGTAACAGCTGTGAGTGACTTTAGGCCAGAAAATCGTTAGAAAACTAGAGTAGGAAGAAATTTCAATCCAATTTTGAAACTCGGTAATTTTTTGTACATTCCGAACTTGCAAATATCAAGAACTAAGCACTGAACTTTACAACACCCATTTTTGAAGAACTACTAAAATTGGGCTAAAAATAATTAAAATTTTAGTTATGAAATTTGAATTTTTGAATGTTCTTTACAAACCTTCAAACTTCAGCTGGACTGAAATCTTAAACTTGTAAAATTGCTTAAAAAAGTTCTACTTTTTTGCATTTTCTTGTGGCGGTCTAGAGTAAAACCTATAGAATAGAATTGTAAATCATTATTTAAAAATCGAAATAGAAAACTTTCCGAATATGTTTAAAAGGACAAAGCATAATAAAATTCTACTAGGAAATATATTTAAAAAACACATAAATTTTATGTCCAACAAACATGTAGAAAAGTGGTTCAAAAACTTCAGATATTTGAACTGCTGTTCAACTACAGTACAAACTTTTGGATCATTTGAAGTCATTTGCAACTTAAGCCCAGCTGATGAAGGTCCAAAACCGGTTCTGCTGGAGTTTGGTTTACTATTTCAATGAGTCCTTGTATTTGTAACTAATACTCTATCAAAATATTAATGAAAAAGATAATACAGAAACAGAACATAAATTCTAAAAACTGGTCGTAAATCTAGAAGCTCAAAAAGCAGGGCAAATCTACATAAAAACCCCAAACCCCCAAATAAATCACTTTCTCAGGTCAGAGCTAGAACAGTTTGTAGTAATAAATTAGCTAAGAATGTCTGAAAGCCTTAAGTGATACATGACTTCTTCAAGTATTCCTAATAAGATCCTTGTTGGACTTAGAGGTGGTCCTTTGAAAACGTTTTCAAGTCATAAACTCAAGTGGAGTCTAAGGTACGCCAGACAGAAATTCTCATAGAAATCGATCAAATTTGAGCACTTTATGTTCAACTCTGTAAATATTCATTTTATATATGTAACGAACAATTAAGAAAAATTCTAATTTATAGCACGCCGTATCAGATCATCAGATTCTTAATATTTTCATGTTAATTACGGTAGGGAAATAATTAAAAACCTATTGAATAGTCAGGACTAAATTTGGAAAAATTATTCAACACAGAAGTTAAGTATAAAATAAACTTCAGGAGATTTGTTCAACTGTTTGAAAGATACATTGTTTAAACATGGCAACAAGATCTACTGTTTGTCTGCCATTTTTGTGACTATGAATTGGGGAGAAATTCATTTTAGTATCTTAATGAAAAGGAAGGATAGAAAGTAACAAAATTGGAATTGTAAGAAAACGTGTCATTAAGAACTAAAATTAAAATTCTAGGGTAAAACTCTAGGGTAAATTGAGAAGGAATATTCACGTCAGAAAAGTTGTGTAGTTTGTATCATTTTACGAATCTACCTACATTTTTGTCATCATTGGAAAAAGCAGTAAATTTCGACAAGAGAAATCTATCTGGTGAAAAATGCATTTCCTCAAGAAACACGATTAAGGAAAGTTGCGATGAAAGAGATAATGATTAAATTAGATAAAGTGGGCACATTAACTTCGAACTAGAAAATTGCCAAAATCTAGTACAGACACAGCAGACAATTAATTGTGCTTTTCTCTAATTGTTTATTTAGAATTAACATTTGAAAAATTATTGGCTGAACTAAATGGCGTATTATTCGTATTTGACCAATTTCTCTATTGAGTTTTCGCAAAGAAACTTTAGGAGGCTTTTGTTCACTTTATAAAATGGCAAAAATCCCATAGGTTTGACTCAAATTTTGGATATAGAAATCGAAACTAAAAGTCAAAAATAAGAGTTTATTAAAAAAATAAACAAAAGTTAACATTCATACTATTCATATTTACAATAAATTGTCATGCAGTTGCATCCGGCAACTTCGCAGGTTTTCCAGCTTTGAGTATTTAATGAAATTAGTCTTTCACTCCTCTGGGGGTAAACTTTGGCGTTTAGCAAGTTTAAAATCACTGTCAAGCTTAACAAAGAACGTTGGGACTTCGCCGACTCCTTTAACAGTCCGGATGCCCCTAGGGACGCATTCGTAGCCCAGTTTTTCAATTTCCTGGGCCGTTTCTCCCAAAACCTGAATCTGACCTAAAGAACGAATTCATTTAAGCATTCTACGAACATCTAACATATTTTCCTACCTGGACATCCAGTGCTGTCCATTCTGGACGCCATATTTACTGCGTCCCCCCATATATCATACAGGGGCTTCTTGGAACCGACAACCCCAGCTATTATTGGTCCATGAGCAATACCTGCGGCAAACCGAACATACACAGGGTGATTCAAATTGATCTTAAAGTCCCCGTTCAATGAACTTCTCGCCCTATTGTGAGCAATAAATTCAGTTATTTCTTACCAATTCTCAGATGTATTTGGGTGAAGGAAGTGTTTTGCTTATTGAACTCCTGGAACATAGTGGACGCAAAATTCAACAGTACCTCCAAAGTGTTGCTCGTATGATGGGTTTCAACCGAATGGCCAATATTTTCATTTTCACCTGGCACAGTTAATCCACAGGCCGCCATGTAGGTCCATTTGGCAATTTTGATTTTTTCCACTTTGGAAAACTCTTTGCGATTCACCAGCTGGAATGCGAAAAGGCTTCAGCAACCTGGCGAGTTGGAAGCAAAACGTTTCTTACTGTATCTATAATGGTAATGTAGACATTCATCAACTGTAGAAAGGACATTTCATGTTCCATAAGGTCTTCGTCGAAGATCATGGAGGCGAACATAACGGCTGAGTGGTTATGGGTTTCAAAGTAAAGGTCCATTTCTTTGTTGGCATCCAAGTAGACTTTAGCTGTAAGTTTGTAAAGTTTTGCCAATCAAGTCAATGAATGGTAAAAGAAATATTTCAATGTGGTTCTAGAGCCGTGATATTGAAAGGATTTTATTTGCAATTCCGTTTTTGACCCAATTTGCAACTTCATTATACTCAAGCCATTTTTTCATATACTTAAAGTGTTTTTTGTGTGTTTTATGAATTCATTGTATGTTATTCTGTTTCAATTTATTGTGTTATCTTGTCCTCAACATTTTTTCTGGTAGTTAATCGTATGTTTTTTTTTGCAGAATAATTAGAGGCTTTAACTGCAGTTTTATGGTTGGCACGAAATATTGTATTACAAATGCTACAGTATTTCACACGTTTTTGTGTTTTTGTTACTTTAACAGTTGGTGTTTTGTTGTTATTTTCTATTTTCTGCCTATATAAAGTGTGACATAAAGTACCTTGACATTGAATATGGGTGTGTATAAGTTTATCATTTAAGTTCTGATTTATGTTTTCATTTGAATAAATATTTTGATCTGTTAATTATTTTTTCAATAGCGTAACAATATGGATTGTGAGAATTTCCACTGGCTGGTTATTCTGAATTAGAAGCTGTATTTGCATGAAATATTCACAGAAACAGCATTTTGGGTAATTGCATGAAAACATTCATGTTTAGACTTGCATTGACTTGTTTGGTAAAATCCGGATTTCATGCAAATTGATTGAAATTTTCAAGGGTTTAAGATACATGCATTTGCTACAGATGGTAAAAATTTGGATTTCAAATTGCTACTTGCCGTAGGTTGAAAGCTGAACATTTTTAAAGGTCGMAAATTTTTAATTTTTTTAATTTTCAGCCCAACATTGACTTGGTCGTWAAAAATCAGRATTTTATGCCTTTTGACTGAAATTTCCAKAGCTTCAAACCTCAAAAATATGCTAGAGATTGCGTAAATTTCAAGTTGCTATTTACCGTAKATTGGAAGTTGAAAATGTTTAAAGGAGAGCAGGCAATTTTCGAGAATTGTTCATTTTTGGGCCCACATTGMCTTGGTTGGTAMAAATCAGGCTTTGGTATGATTTAAGTGGATTTTTTATGGATTTRAKTGGWCTATAGATGGCGAATGGCGAAGATGGCGATGTATATTGCCATTTAATCTTGATTTGAAKTTGTGAATATTTAAATGAGGGCATGTAACTGCATAAAAACTTWAATTTTAGTTTGTAACTTTTGTCAAATTGTTTGTTTARCAAGCAATTGGAGAKMAATTTCTAGAATCTGCAGACTCAGAAATCTGTAATAKATGATGAAAATTTCAAGTTGCTACYTGYTCTGGGTTGGAAGTTGTAACTTTTTAAAAAGAGCGCGGAATGTTRAGTAATTGTTTATTTTTAGGCCAACATTCCCTTGGATAATAAAAATCAGGATTAGATTCGATTAGTGTWAAATTATCAGGGCCTTCACGTTCAAYAGTTGTCTATAGGGGRCAAAAACTSAAAGTTCTACTAGATCTCGATTAAAAGTTGTAAATTTTGAAAGAAAAGCGTCATCCTATATGAACAGTTTCATTTTATGCCCGTATGATTCCGGTCGGTAAAACTCAGCTTTTTTGCAATTTTCAAAAAATTTCTACGTTTTACAGACTGAGAATTTTTTAAYAGATGGTGGAAATTTCAAGTTGCTATTTTCACTAGGTTAGAAGCTGGATATTTTTAACCAAGATCGTGTAATTTTTCAAAATTCGTAACATTTGAGCCAACATTGACTTGGTTGGTAAAAATCGGGATTTTATGTCATTTAACTGAAATTTCCAGCGCTTCAAAACCTATAAATATGCTACAGAATGTGTAAATTTCATGTTGATATCTACCCAAGATTGGAAGCTGAAAATTTTTAAAAGTGATCGGGCAATTTTAGAAAATTGTTTATTTTTGGGCCCACATTGACTGAGTGGTAAAAATCAGGCTTTGTGGAACTGATTTAAGTGGAACTTTCCAAGATTTTACATCAAAATATCGTCTCTAGATGGTGACAAATTCAGATTGCCATTTAATTTTGATTTCAAGTTGTGAATATTTGAATGAGGGCATGTGCTGCATGAAAACTTTAATTTTAGTGCCAAGCTTTCAAAACAACATAAACATGGCTGGTAAAACTCCGGTTTTTCTGCAATTTGAGAGAAATTTCTACTATTTACAGACTCAGAAATCTGCAATAGATGAGGAACATTTCAAGTTGCTACTTGCTCTTGGTTGGAAGTTGTACATTTTTAAACAGAGCGAGAATTTTGTGTAATTGTTCATTTTTGGGCCAACGTTGACTTGGATCGTAAAAATCAGGAATAGATACGATCAGTCTAAGATGTTGAAGGCCTTCACGTTCAACAATTTTCTATACGTGGCGAAAAAGTCAAATTTCTACTTGATCTAGATTGAAAGTTGTAAATTTTGAAAGAAAAGCGTGACCCTGCGAACTGCGAAAGAAAAACGAAAGAAAAACWCTTTTTTTTAGGCCCGTATTGTTTTGGTCGGYAAAATTCAGATTTTTTTCGAAAATTTCAGACTGCAAAATCCTCAATAGATAGTGGAAATTTCAAGTTGCTATTTGCACTAGGTTGGAAGTTGGACATTTTTAACGAAGATCGTGTAATTTTTGAAATTTTTTTTTGTTTCGTAATGTTTGGGCCAACATTGACTTTGTTGGTAAAAATTAGGATTTGATGCCAGTTGACTGAAATTTCTTGAGTGCTCACAATAATAAGTCATCTATAACCAGTGAAGTTTTCAAATTGCTAGTAAAGCTGGATTGGTAGTTATGAATGTCGAAAAGAGAGCGTGTATCTGTGCGAAAATCTTCTTTTTTTGGGGCAGAGTTAACTTGATTCCTACAACTCAGATTTTCACACAATTTGAGGGAAATTTCTAGACTTTGAGGCTCAGAAATGCTCGGCAGATGGCGAAAATTTTCAAATTGCTACATGCTGTAGATTAAAAGTAACTTAATAAACGTTAATTTTTTGGCTAACATTGACTTGATTCGTAAACTTCAGAAAATGGCGCAATTTTACTTACATTTTCAGAACTTCAATGTTCGCAAGTCGTCTATAGATGGTGAAAATATCAAATTGCTAGTTAATCTAGGTTGAAAGGTATACATTTTCAAAGAAGCGCGTATACTTGCATGAAAACGTTCATGTTTAAGACAGTGTTAACTAGGTTGGTAAAACTCAGATTTGTGGCAATTTGAAGGCAACTTCTAGAGCTTTTAGCCTCAGAAGTATTCTATAATTGGTGCTCATTCCAAGTTGATACTTGTTCCAGATTAAAAGTTGTAAATTTTTTAAGAATGTCGTGTACCTGAGTGGAAACTTTCATTTTTGAGCTAGTTTAACTTGGTTGATAAAAATCAGGTTTTGGCGCAATTCGGGTGCAATTTTTAGAGTTTTGAGGCTCAGAAGTCTCCTGCCGATGATATCTACAAATTTCAAGTTGCATCTAGATTTGCATTTAAAGCTGTCAATTTTTCAAAAAGTACGTGTTAATAAGTAAAACACTCATTTTTAAGCCGACATTGACTTAGCTAGCAAATCTCCCGTTTAGGCACAAATCATCTAAAATTTTCCTTTGACGACTACTTTGAGGTTCACCTAGTTTTTAAATGCAGTCGATCGTCTATTTGGTTTGAGTGCCAATTCTTTTATTCTATATTTATATTTATATTCTTTTATTTTATTCTTTATTTCCATTTCCAATATTCCACCTCCAGTTAATGTTCGGTTAGTACTTTCGTTTGACCGAATTTCTTCAGCCAGCAGATTACTGATAGAATTTGCCCTCCATTTACAATCATTCCTGCTAATAAGAGGAAACTCCTTAAACTTACCAACATGTTTCGGTAGAATATTAATCAGCATGTTGGTGTTGACCATCTGCTGTTCGTTGGCCTTTCGTTTCTCCTCCAATAGCTTGGCGGTCCACAGAAAATCCAGGCGATTCATATAATCGGTTTGCCGATCAATCAAATGGAGGGTGAAAGTCAGGAAGACGATGCTCAGAACGTGGGATATCTGAGGCGCCAGAAACGGATTGAAGGTTTCACTGCTCTGAAAGAGAAACGGCTTCAAGTGGAAGAACCCAGTTTAACTGTTAATTAACTGGTACCTTGTAAATAGGAGTGACATAGTAGAGGGCGCAGTAGCTGTAGACTATAGTAGTTAAAATTGCGTAGAGTAGTTTAATCCAGATGAAAATCTTCAGGAAAAGGAACGTCATGATTAGAGCTAAGGCGCAGGATTCGGTTATGTGCTGGAATCACACACAAACAAAATGATTAATTCTCCTACATGTAGAAAGCCTCCTTACCCATGGCACCATGCAGTATCCTTCAGACGTCAAGGATGTGTCTTGGAAGCACTCAGTGTGGCAAAACCACTGGAACGATAATGAGGATATAAACCACATAGTATAGGGAAACATCACTCACTTACGACTTCTAAAAACACGCAGGCCAAAAACAGCATCCATACCAAGGTGTAGATGACTAATCGGGCCAGAAAGTTGTAGGTGATAAAGCGCGAAATGGTGTAGAAGAACCGGACAACTACATTGCTAGGCATAACGTCTTGAAATTGAGTGCGGAATTTGAGGTAGATGTAATACGTCCAGGTGCTGGGAATGAGGATTACCACTAGTATCAGCTGGGAAGTTATGAATTCGTAGCGCAACCATGCTCGACTGAAACGCAAAAATCCCAGCTACACTCTGTAGATGTATACCAAATTGACCTAAAGAGTCTGTGTATGTAAAATACCCGTACATTGAACGACGTTTTAAACAATATCACATAAAAATAATAAATAAACTACCAGAATCCTACCTCTCCAAAGTCAAATTTTGAATCAGGTAGACGCACAGTATCAGAACCACTTGGCTCAAAACGTAGTACTTAAACATCGGATCCTTCATCTTCACATATTCCCACTCGGCCTTCCGATCCTTGAACACCAACAGGCCGCTGATTTCTGAACCTTTCACCACATATTGACTAAAAAAATCATAAAACTGTAGAGGTATCAAGGAGCAACAGGTGGCACTTACTCCTTCTTGGAAAACGACATGTTATCTATGGTTTTCTCCATTTCGTTGTCCACGCTGGCCGACCGCTCATTGTAACGCTTGAAATTCGTGCTCATAAAGGCCGTTCTTCTTTTCACGTCCGACGTGATTCTTCTTTCTTCATTCGGCCGGAATCTTTGACTCGGCCTGCGCTGGTAGACAGTGCTTCTTCGCCCTGTGTCCCCATTTAGACGCCTATGAACAAATGAATATTCCAGGAAATCCAGCTCCCACAGTCTAAGCTAAAGCCAACCTTTGGTTATCTTGCTCGATGTTATTGCTTTCGATAATGGTGAGGGTGGTTCTGGGCTCTTCGGAGATTTGCGGCAAATCCAACTGCTGAAGTTGGCTAAGAATGGGAACGCTTCCGTTTTTGCGAAAGATCGACGGTCTTGGTTGGGGCGTATGCATCAAGATGTCTGGTGGGTCTAAAGAACTGGCTTTGGAAGTAGCTTCTACCTGTAGAAGATGGAGCTTTAGTTGAAATTGCTTCAAAGTGTTGCAAACCAGCTCGGTTTAGGTAGATTTATAGATTGTAAATTCAACAAAGTATGTACAAACATTATATGTTAATTGTATGATATTAACAAACTATTCTAAATGGCTTAGGGTTTGGTATAGTTTCGAAAGTTTGCCATTCTATTCTGATTTGCATTATTCTTGCCCGCCCCAATATTCTGCTTCCTTAATGATGGTATTGATATTTTCTTTTTCCTTTTGTAGGTTTTTTACACATTAAATAGATTATATGTAGCGACGTAATACTCCACTTCCTTCTTGCATTTCTGATGTACGGTGTTATTTGTGTTTTAAATTTTCTCCTTGGTTTCAGCAGTGTTAATGTATCAGTTGTTATCCCAGATATATATATCCCGTTTAGTTTTTGTTCTTAATATAAAGTGTTTTATCTGAAAATCTTTGCACTCGTTCCATACATCTTTTGCTTCTGTTGGTTAGTTCGTGATGTTCATTTCTGCCGATTTACTCCAATTTTATGTATATAAAAACTCACTTTTATAGGAAATTTCTGGACGTTTTCATGATTCTTTCAGTTACTAAGGCGAGTCGACTGACCTTTGGTAAACACGAGTTTTTACAAAATTCATCAAGGAAAAACCAAAAGTTCGTGAATGCGGCTACTAACATCACTAGAAAGAGAAAATCGGCTGCTTTAAGTGAGGAAAAACTCACTTGATTAGAAAATTACTGCGAGTTTTCAGGATGTTTTCAGATACTAAGCGATTGGCCATTGGTAGGTATAAGCAAACAGACTTGAAAAAATTGTCAAAAAAACCAAAAATTTCTCAAGTCTGCCCAGAATAACATAGAAAGAGAAAATCCGCGGCTTTAAATGAGGGAAACCTCACTTTAATGGGAAATTTCTGGGAGTTTTCATGATTTTATCAGATACTAAATCGAAGCGAGTGGTCGTTGAACAACATGGATTTTTCAAAAATTCGCTAAGAAAAAACCAAAAATTCCTGAATGCGCCCCATAATATTACTCGAAAGAAAAAATCGGCTCCTTTAAGTGAGGAAAAACGCGCTTGATTAGGAAAATTCTGGGAGTTTCCAGGATGTTCTCAGATACTAAGCGATTGGCCATTGGTATACATAAACGAATTTAAAAAAATGTCAAGAAAAAACCAAAAATTTCTTAAGTCTGTCCAGAATATCACTCAAAAGAGAAAATTCGCGGCGTTAAATGAGGAAAACCTCACTTAATCTGATATTTCTGTGAGTTTTCAGCATTTTGTCTGATACTAAATCGAAGCGAGTGGTCGTTGGACACCACGAATTTTTCAAAAATTTGCCAATAAAAAACCAAAAATTCCTGAATGCGTCCCATAATATCACCTCGAAAGAAAAAATCGGCTGCTTTAAGTGAGGAAAAACACGCTTGATTAAGAAAATTCTAAGAGTTTCGAGGACGTTTTCGGATACTAAGCGATTGCCTTACTAAAATACGGCAACACCGATTTAAAAAAAAATTGACAAGGTAAAACAAAAAATCGCTCAATCCAGTGTATAGTCTAACTCCAAAGCAAAAATTCGCTGCTTTACGTGAGGAAAAACTCAGTTTAATAGGAAATTTCTGGCAGTTTTCAGGATTTTTTCAGTTACGAAGAGCCAGATTAATCTCATGCGACCATCTTTTTCTTTTGCCTTTTTTCACTCTTCTAATTAGAGTTATTGAGAACATCGGTAATAATAAAGAATAATTACATATAATTAGTAAAAACTGCTCACTTACCGGAGTCACTAGATATGTTTGTAGGCCCTGGTCCTTAAATTGAGGGACAGTGTTACCCTTATCAGTGGGAGTAATGTCGTAGGCCTTGTTCAACAGTGCCTTCGTTCTGCTAGTTATATGGACTTTCCTGGAAATTATAAACAGAACCTTGAAGAAACATTCACCTCAAAAACCTTTGCGATCTCTTACCCTGCCAGCCCTTCGCTCTCCATTTTATTGGCAATATCAACATCTTTCGACCAAACATCGAACTGGTACTTCACTTTGCCGATGATTCCGCTGATGATTTTTCCCGTGTGAATCCCAATTCGCATGTCGATGGTCAGATTGTTCTTTTCTCTAGTTATCCAAAAAAACGGCCCCATGAAGCAAGAAATACGGAAAGCTCTGCAAAGACTCACCGAACATCTGCGATGATTTTAATCATCTTCAAGCCCAAATCGACGCAGGCTTCAGCAGGATTAGGAGGCGGCTCTGGTGGTAAGCCGGATACACAGTAGTAACAATCGCCCAGGAATTTGATTCGAATTACTTTTAGACGCTGAAAAGACCAGAAAATCGTTGAGTAACGGTTTGCCAAAGGGCTCCATAAGAGCATGGAGTTTTAGGCTTCACATTGATTTTAAAATAGAACAACATGCCATCTGAAAAGCTCTGCTTCTAAGGCCTTAACAGGCCATCCTCCGTCTTGCACGATCTTGGCGGATCATTTTCGAGGACTTGTAATAAAGCGTTATTCTCGTCTTAGTCTTGGTAGTTGCAAGTAAATGGCCAAAGATGTTGCTCACACAAATGTAGGTGGTTTTCCTTTTATTTCTCTTGAAATTTTCGGTTCTTCCCACATGCTAAACCAGATTTCCAGCTCTCAAATATTTTGCTCCCTTTCATCTTAGAACTGTTTTCAAATGACGTCCCAATATATGTTACTCTTCCAATTTCGTCTTATTTTCCATCAAGTGTTAAATAGAGTCTCTTGGTAGCTGCGATTGTTTCTCACCTTAGAATGCTCGATCCCTTCTAAAGTAATTTTCTCTTGTAATTGCTTGATTTATATTTTTCAAATTACGATGCTTTTCCTTGTTTTCCTAGATCCTTACTCAAATACTTTACATCCTTGAAAAGTCTTAGCAAGCAGAAGCATGCAAGCTGGAGATTTATATTCTTCTGAAGCTTTCCTTTTAGATTACGATATTACAGAATCTTCAGGAAGAACACCAAACCAGTTAGAAAGAGAGTTAGAAAACTTACATCAGAAGCATCATCAAATCGGCCAAATAACTCATTCAACGTTTCCAGCAAGGCGTTGATATTCAGCTTTTTGGTCATCACAGTATAATTGACGATATCAGCAAACAAAATCGTCACTCCTTCATGAACCTCCAGCAAATCTTCTCTGAAAATGATCGCAATAAATTAATAAAAATATCTTTTAGAACCATATTTTCCTTCCTACGGTTTATCGTTGCCCAGTTTGCCGAACTTTTTATAGTTTTCCTGACTCCTCAGATAATGCTGCTTCACTTTGTTGATCAACGGCGCCGGAATTATACTGGACATCAGTTGCTCCTAAAATGGCACAGAATAATTCATTTAACAGAATTTGATCTCGTGGATTAAGAGCTTACTTCCTGCTGTTTTTCGTGCTTCAGCTGAAAAGTGTTCACAATGCAGTCGCGTCTATCTAGAAAGCTTTTTCGCTGAACGATTTCGTTCAGATAACGGAAATATAGGCCCAGGCCATTGAAACATGTCAGAAAAATGATATCTGAAAAAACCTGAAAAAGTTATTTTATAGATACAGTAGATAATACATTTTTAAAGTAAATACGAAACAATGGATACTTTTTGAAGCAGGAAAATTAATAGAGTGTGCGGAAACCTGAGAAGAAGTAAATTGCCAATATTAAAAAAAATACTAGAAAAATGTTTTAAATCAGATAAAATYACGCTCAGAATGACAATAARAAATACCTCAAAAAAATCACTTAAGCAAATATTTCCTTTCCAATAAATTTAAAGATAAGATTGGATGTTTAAATTTGACTAAACAGACRGACAAGCGAACAAGATTTTACTTCTGGAGGCAAAATATAAAAAAATATTACAATCAAATAGATGTTTTTGTATTGGTTATCYGTACTCTTTTTACWTGATCATTTTTTGTTTAMAAATTTTGGAAAGGTTTGTTCAAATCAAATTTKGGTTTCAMCAATTYAATWACWTTTTGATWTAAAMAATCYGWTMAAACCAAATTTAACMGTTTTTTCAAAAAWSTTTTCAAKTRCTAATTGCTACAWAACKMCAAAACACATTTASGSAAWCAYCTTAAAAAATCRCAGAARTKTTAAGCAATTTTTCGAAATAAATCTCTTCAATAATAAATCAAAGATTTCTCTCTCAATTAGATCACTTCTTGATTAAAAAATCTGATTTTTTACAAATATTTTTCGAGAACTTTTACAAGAACTTTTCGAAATAAATCTCATTTTTCYTCTTTCTGAGTTGAACAACGACTYGYMTATATAAATTATTYTAAAAATKWAAGTTCRAKATCAATTCGCGTAACAATTTCGTATTTTTGTTTGATATTTTCTGCRAAAATAATSKTTTTATTTTAGTGTGTAATTTTTGAGTTTTTYAACACTGTTCTGATATTGTTWACCGAATTTCCTTTAAATTTGCGTTTGTTCAATACTTATAACTWTTTAATTYTTCCTAAGTCCAGTCCTTAAAATGCAGATTACTGCTTGCTTGATATGTTAAGAATTACAATATTCTRTAGCTTTTTTCTGTGTTTTTTATTCGGTTTGAAAGTGAAATTCTTCCCAAATCACTTTRAAGATTTTGCAATTCATTTGTCCCTTCTCCTATATTCTTTATTGTCCTTAGCAGGTTTTCATTTTTGCTTCATATTWTCAGCAACTGTACATTCTAAMTGWWCTTATTCMMTAATATATTTTAACCTTWTTTTTTCAATTTGCAACTGGCAATTTTATTCMTGTTTTTGTATTTATTATTTGCTTTTGTTATGAAAACAGCTTTCATYATGTCTGTTTAAGGTAKGCTTCTGAGTATCTATTTAAGTTATTYAGTATTTTGGTCTTGTCCTGCTGTTTATAACACTTTARACTTTATATGTAATTGTACATTATTTGCTTATTTCATGTTTCACTGGTGCAAAGAAGCACTTGTTTTTGGGTCACATTTGCCGTAATGAAAACAGCTAAAATATCGAGCGAATATAAACTGGAAAATAAAGAAATTAACAAGCAAGAATAAGAAAAATAAGTTAGTAAGAAATTAAATCAGAAAAGATATTTGCAAAGACTGATAAGCACATAAGTTTTTCTGTTTTAAATTGGAAACTTGCACAAACAACAAAACAGTGCTGAAGGATGATAATGTATGCAAAATGATAAGAAAACTGAAGACGACAGTTCGGAAAGTTAAACAAGCAAATGGACTTGTGAATTTTAAAAATATTAGATTTTTTGCTATTTTCGGAGCTTCAAACTGGAGAAAGTTTCACTTTAAAAAAGATCATAAAATTTTCAAAATATTGCATGAACATATTATGAACAACAACTTTGTGTTTGCTGATTCATAATTTTAAGGGTTTTGGAGATCTATTGCTGATTACTATTCAGACTAAAAAATTTTTATGTTCATTCATATTAGGAAAAAGTTGAAATAAGATAATAATAATAGAACTTTTACTCGACTCGATTGAAGGAACTATCGAATAATGAGGGCTCAGTATTTGCAACCCGAAGAAGCAAGAAAAAATACTGGATGAATGACGAAATATTAGAACTAACGGAGGAAAGTAGTGTAAAAACCACTGACCTACTGGCAGATAAATCCTGTTAAATCGTTACAACAAAATCATTAAAAGTTAAATAAGAATCTGGCTGGAAAAACAGAATGGCCATAAAATGGTTTGAAATTTGAATAAAGTGGCACTAGAGGAGAAGGTCAATTAAAATGAAGACACAGCATCAAATATAGTGGATCTTCAAAAAGGAGTTAGTGGCAGTTGTACACTTTCACGAGTTTTTCTCTTAATATATTCAAAGCAAAACTGTAAAACACTGTGGTGAGTTTTAAAAAGTCGAAAACAGTACTAAAATAAATGTAGGAAATATAAACAACATACGATAGGCGGACGACACCGTCCTAATAGGAGACAAGATATATAGGCGAATAAAATCTACAAGAGCTATGGAAAGTTATGGAAACAAGTAACGCATACGGTCCTGATCTGAACGTTAAAACAATCGCAATCTGACTATAAAGTATGGACCAATAACCGGGTTCCTAAGAGACATGTAGTTTATTGGGACGAAAAAACCGCAGAGGTTTTCGCCTAATATTTAAAAAATATTAAATTCTTTAATAAAAATACAACGGCAGCTTGGACCTTAGTTAAAGCTTCAAAAAATGAAACATCAGCCTTGAAACGCTTCTTATTATTATCGCTAATTTTGCATTTGCAACTAGTAAAAACCTTCCTCTCAGCAAGCACTTTACAAATTGTCCTCTATTCAACAATTTTCCAAACTTGGAGCTTAAAGCAAATTGAACCTGAAATAACTGTTGCATATACTCACTCTCGTAACCAGTATATCCGATCCTCTATAAGTAACCAGCACCAATGTGGTGATATGTGCAGAAGACACGCTCGCTCCCAATAACACCGCCATCCAGTTCTTCTGCACGCCGAAAAATAGATAACAGCCAATAACGATTAAAAAAGTGTAGGCTGGAGTGTAGGAGTATTCACTAGCCGTATTATTCAGATCGTGGTAAATAGGCGGAAAAAAATTGGCCAGCAACAAGACTCCAAAAGCAATAGCGCAGAAGTAGAACCATTTCTGCTGTCTTCGCTCCACTATTTCCAAAGTGATCAATCCCAAGACGCTTAAGAGACAAACTGCTGAGTAGATGATGAGGTCGGGCACCACTGAATGGATTTTGCTCTAAAATAATTATTTAGTTTAATTTTTTGTGAGTTTTCGTCAATTTCTTCAACTCACCGCACTGCCCAAACATTCCACAAGCAGCAGAATAGTATGGGTAATAAACAGACAGAAAGTTAATATCAGGAACAAGGAAAAATACCCGAAGCTTATTTTATCGGTGTACTTTTTGAAGAGCCTGTAGAGGGCCAAAGTCTTGAACTGGGACTGAAACAGACAAACATATAAAACTAGTGATTTTTATTTAAAAGACACTATTAAAAACACTAAGTTTTAGCTACTTTTTGCCTCACCTTGTATAGTAACAAAGATCGTCGGTAAAAGACCATACCGGCTCCAAGAAAATACCATTATTACCCGTTGGAGCCAGCAATATTTTGGCACTCGAAACTTAACGAATTTTTGCTATGAACAAATACTGTTGCAAATATTGAAATTTTCACCTAAGTACTTACAATTAGTTGTCATTGATAAGGAAACCGTATCGCAATAGGTGCTAGTCACAGACTGATTCTCCAAGTAAATGTATTTCTTGATAACGCCAAGTTATTGGTTATTTATTTATGTAGGGTTTAGTTTTATTGTCTGTTTTACAACTTCCCCAGCATGGAAAATAAAATAACTGACAACTAAAATTAGCCGAAAAAAACTGGACATTGAAAGACAGTCATCCAACGAATCATTTTCCTCCATGATGATCCTGTCGTCCGCCAAAGTGTCTTTTGAAAAATCTGCTTTTTGGGCGTTGTCCTCCATATTTTTTAACTACTTCTTCATTAGCTTATCCACCCAAAATTGATATTGAGCTTAGCACCATTCTGTCCCAGTTAGGAGTGGACTATTTTCACTTTGTTAAACGCTTTTTCCAGGTCTATGAACGATATATGTATGTCGTTTTCCCTTATTTCGTGGCTTTTTGGCTTTTTCTATTATGAAAAAAGCAGTTTTTCAATGCAATTTTTGTCTCCAAATCCGCCGCTCTGCGTTTGTTTAATTTTAAATATCAGTCCATTTTCTATACAGTTTCGTAGGTGTAGTTATTGCAGTCTTTTCGTTTCGCTATTTAAAAACTGGGGCAATCAGTGTCATTCTCTAGCTGTAGACCTTCCTCTTTTCATATTTTATCTTCCATATTAAGCTTTAGATTATTTTTTTTACGCTCATATTCTTCATCTTTATGTTGTTATTATCTATTGTTGTCAATATTTCATTTTACTATTATTGCTTGATTTGTTCTAAATTAACAATTTCCGCTTTCATTTCTAAGAGTGCTTGAAAACGTTTTTTGTTAAAATGTTGTAATTTTTACTTTTGGTTCTAACGCATATTGTGTCTTGAAATTTTAGCTTTCTATGTGTTTTAAATATGTTGTCGTATATTTTATAATTTTGGGTGTTTTTGTGCGTTAGATATTTTTTTCTACTCTACTTTACTCTACTATTTTTGTTATGAGAAAACTTGCAAAAAGAAGGACTAAAGCGAAGGGATAAGCGCAACAATTGACAAATTCGAATGTTTATTTAAAGCGTTAACCAAATGTTTCCACTATATTTTCAAGTTTTGCAGAATTTTTGCTTTTTGTCTTTTATTTTGACAACAAATCGGCGTTTTTATCTGGTATATATTTGAGTTCTAGATTCCTACCTACGTTACATATCTATTTTCCTTCTTTTCTTCGTATTATTTTAAAGCTTTTGAAATATTTCCAAATTTTCATTTGGTAAGATTAGATTTTTGCCTTTATAAAATGCCACTTCAATTGGAAACTAAACTAGAACCTTAAAAATATCATGGAAAAGAAACACTTGCCGAAAAAGTGCAGGAAAAATGCAGACTGGAAGCACAGAATCTAGATAAAACCTAATTATATGAATGTTAATTAAAATCGTCCACAAAATGCCTTCTGCTCCACTATATAGATACAAATTCGATGTGAAATTGTTGGCTCTATTCTCTTTTGTTTTTTTTATTTGTAAAATAAATGTGCATTTTTGTCTGATTTCTGATATGTTTTCAAATACTTTTATCGTTCTAATCTAGTACATTTCTTTATCGTATTTTCTTTGTTCTATAACTAACTTTGTAGTCTGAGTTTTGGTTTTCTAAGCCCTTCTTAGATTTATGTTCAATTGGAACAGAAACTAAAGCTTTAAAATGCCATTAAAAATAAACAATTGAAGAAAAAAGAAAACTAGACGAAAAAACGCAAAAGGGGAACAAATAATTCAGGTGAAAATTGAAAATATAATTTTTAATTAAAACTGTCACGAAATGTTTTTGACCGTTTGATATATTGAATTAATGCAGAATTTTCTCCTGTTGTTGACATTTTTATCAAATGTGAACTTTTGTCTGCTAGGAAGTAAAACAAACAATTGCAGAGAACATAAGGACAAAAATGGAGGAAAAACCGCTGTATAAAAATAAATAATCCAAATAATAAAAAAAAGATATTCACAAAACCTTGTTGACTTTACTATACTATTTAATTCTACATATTTTAGATTATTCTTCAAATCTTATATTCTTCATCTTTTTGTTACCTATTATTTGCTCTTACTTAAATCTTGTATCGCTTCATCAAATTTTGGTTGTCGTACATATTATGTTTAACTGTTATTTCTTACTATGTTTATTATGCCAAATTAACACTTGTGGCTTTCATTTCTAGGAGTTCTTGAAAAAGTTCTAAGCCAAAGTTTTCTAATTTTGCGTTGTACCGATAATAATTTTTCACTTTGGCTTCTAATGCATATTGTATATAGCAATTTTACCTTCTTATGTGTTTTAAGTATGTTGTAGTAAATATTTTGATTCGTTTTGTTACTTTTCTCTTCTTTTTTTCCATACACTTTTCTCTATTTTTTCCTTTTTATTGCAATTTTGTCTTTCTGCATCTTCCCCACAACGTTTACTCACCAGAGTGAGATATGAATCTCAGTTACGAGAAAACTTACAAACAGTAGGAAGGAAGCGAAGGGAAAGCGCATGATTGAAACAAATAATTCCAAACTAATTGACAAATTTAAGTGATTATTTAAAGCTTTCACAAAATATTTATACTGCATATTAAAATTTTACAGAAGAAAAACGTAGAAGGGAAATGAAAATCGAAAATACACATTTTTAATTAAAACTTTCACGAAATGTTTCTGACCGTTTGATATATTGGATTATTGCAGAATTTTTGTCACTTTTCTCTTTTAGGAAGGAAGGAGGCACACTGAAAACAGAACCTACAAGAAAGAAGAGAAAAATAAAGAACTTACAAAAAAATATCTCGTTTGATTGGATTTTCTCTTTTACTTCGGGTAACAAATGTGCACTTATGTCTACTAGGATTTCCTCCAGATTTTTTGTTGATTTATATTTGCGTTCTATCTTCCTTCTTACTTTACATATTATTATTACATTTCTTTAGTAGTTTTTCATGACTTTTTCAAAGATTTTCTTATTTCAATTTGATATGTTAGAATTACCTGTTCTTAAAAGTGCCGGTTCGATTGGAAAATACACAAGAAGTTAAAAAGTATGAAGAAAAAGAAACACTTGCAGAGAAAATAAGAAATAAAAAAATAAGAAAAACCGCAGTATAAAAGCAAATAGTCCATATAATCATAAAAAATATAAAGTTTTTTAAAAACGTTCAAAAAACCTTGTTGACTCTATTATACATACATTTCTTGTAAAAATGTTATCGCTAATTAGCTTTTTTTTCTTCATTTTCAGACGCTTCGTTCATTTCTATTTGCATTCTAACTTCGTACCTACTTTCTTTGTATTTTTTTACTTTCTTTTCTTTGTACCATTATTAGATTTTTGAAATATGTGATCTATCAGGATTGGATAAGTCTCATGTTTCTGACTTAAAAAGTAGCAGTTTAATTGGACAAAAGTGCAAAAATATCATAAAAAACTTGGAGACAAAAGCAGGGAAACGAACTATGAAATAGAAATAATCCGGAACAAAATAAAAAACGCGAATGTTCATTAAAACAGTTTGAAAAATGTATGTTTCAAATGAAAGCTGAATTAAGCCTGAAAATTTATCACACACACGCCAGTATTTCTTTCAATATTATTCGGGCCGATAATTTTCGCAGATCAATTTTCACTCGTTGATGGTGCACCAAAACTTATAACAAAAATATTTATATTCTAAATATAAATCGACAATAATCGTAAACGACTTATTTTCAAAGTGACAAGATTAATGAATCTATTAATTCGCCATATAATTAATACAAAAGATTTAAAACGAAAACTTAACTGGATTTACGTGCTCTCACTTGATAAGCTACAAATGTTAAACAGTTAAAAGACAAATTATTTACAGGGTGAATCAAAGTACGTGCGGGTCGTTTTTATAGGAGTTTTTACCTAAAAACAAATTACAACTAGCAGAATGTTTAAACCAGAGGACAACCATGATTTCATTGCTGTTCTCATAGAGCGCCTTGTATTTTTATATAATACTTATTGATGGCTTGCTTCACAATTCCATACCAAATATAATCGGTATAATAATAAATGTGGAGTTTATTTGGGTTAATATTTATACTTAAGACATACCCTTAAATGGCCTCGGGTCCACTTTTTCTCGTCAAAAGTTGCCGCGTCTGGAGGGTTTAGACCAAAAAGATCCTCATCTTCATCGCTCATTAAGCTTGTTGAAGTCGACACTTGTCTTGACATGATTCACCCACTAAAACACAATTTTTAGGAAGGAATGTGAGGACAACCAGGCACTTTAGCTGATATACCGATGACCCATTTTGTAATAACGAGACTACAATAGATTTTAGAAGAAAAATAATTATTGTTGGCTCATATTTTGAAAGGGCTTTAGTTTGTTAAATGCAAGTGGATTTTGCTGTAATAATTCATAAAATCAATAAATAGTTGCAAACCGGAAAAGAGTATACAAGATGAATATCAGATAAAAACTTGCAAAAAGTTACAGAAAGGAACACTTGCGACTTCGAAAACAATTCTATTTTGAGATGGGAAAAGGATCGATTTTTCTTCAACACACTGTTTTTGCGTTTAGATCTAATCATCCACTTCCAAACATATCGGCTGTCCCTCTATTTTCAAGTAATTTTCATTACAAGCCGATCTTAAAGAATACCAGACAAAAATCGTTTTTTACGTTAAATAACTAGAAAATTGCAGTTGCTGATAATCACGCTGCATTTATTGTTAAATAGTTTCGGTGAAAACGTGACTGAATGAATTCAGCATCGCTCACATTTCCTCGAAAATCCAATTCGTCAATGAAAACGAAAATCACTGTTATCTCAGCCAAAGCTAATTGAGCAAAATAATACCCGGTAATTCTAAATTCGCAGATTTGTCATATCAAATACCTATTCGATTATTTGCAAACGTCTTATATCTATTTATTAGGTCTGGATTAAGTGTCTATGTGTTGCTTAATCAATTATTATATATAGCTTTTAAGTATCTAATCCGCTTATTATTATTTATCTTGCTTTGATAAAGTTTTGCCGATTGTCTAAATTATTTCGAAAAAATGCTTGATTCCCAAGATAACGTCTAATATGTCTCTTGCTGTTTAGTTCGAAAAAACAAATCAATCAAAAGTTTAACTAATAAAACGTTTTAATCATTTAGACAAAAAGAAAATGCCTTTCACGCTTTCCTCTAAGGTGGGCCTGAGTAACACTGGGTTGAGTTGCGCTTTTGAGTTGTTGCCGCTCTCTGAGTTAAGGAGTTATAACTCATCGGTTAATGAGATATAAGTCATTTATTACAGCTTTACGAGACCCGAGATTGGAATTTTCGCATCTAAAAATAAGGTCATCAACATTTTTCTGAGTAACGTTTTACTACTTTGTCCAAACAACTAGAAAAAGTCATCTAGATTTTCCCAGCAGCAGAACTGAGTCCAAAGAAAGTCGACGAGTTTTCTTGTAAAATCGATCTTTTAATTTTTTTGCATACAAGATTCAGTTGACCAGTATTTCACAGTTAAGGAGGCGAGTGTTTCAATAAAATTAATCTTATAATTTTTCACAGAAAATACCTGAAGATTGTCAGTATTTTAAGTAAAACTAAAAAATAATGCGATTTTTGGGTAGAAAGAGTTGCTTAATAGAAACTTTGTTGAAATGATCTGAAAATTTAAAGGAACTTCAAGCAATGAGGGCGCCCAATTTTCCAAATAATTTTTTGTAAACTTTTGCTCTCTGGTCGATTTTTTAACATAGTCCTAATCACTTGCGGTAAAAAACTGAATACAATTATTTGGTTTTCGATCCGATGAATGCGGCTCATTTTCTAGTCATTTGTAGCTGAAAATACCCCATTTTTGCCAGAAAAGGCGAAAATCATTAGAAAGTAATGATTTTTTTGCGTTTACGAATAAAAACTTTTCGTTTAGTGAACGGTTTTGTAGAAAACCTTAATGGAAGAAAACGGGGGACATTTATTTTCGTTTCTGTCCCGAATTCGACGCTGAAAAAAGTTTTTTGTAAAATTTTTACAAAGCTTCATTCATATTGTAATTTTTCAAGTAAAATATCACCAGATCGTCAGTATTTTTAAGTGAAACTCTACAAAATAGAGCGTTCTTGAGTAGAAAGTGAAGCTAAAAAACGTCAGTCAAAAGTAAAAAACCACATTTTTCAGAGTATGGAAGTCACAATATTTCCAAATAATCTGTTATAAACTTTCGCTTATTCTGTTCGATTTTTGATGGAAAATTATTTGATTTTTGCTCGGAATTTGAAAGTGGAAAGGGATTTCAATTTTTTTTACAAAGCGGCGAAGGATTCGAATTTTATTTCATCATTTTTCGCGGAAAATACCTTAAGATTTGTAAGCATTTTTAAGTAAAACTTGATCATTTGGAAGAGAGAGTAACTTGGCTAAAACCGAAAAATTCTGAAATTTTTAAAAAATTTTAAAAATATTGTTAATAAATGGCCCTTAAAATAAATCTAGAAATAAGTCTAAAAAAAGTCATCAATATTTTCATAATTGACTGAGTTAGTTACCCAGCGCCTACTCCAAAGCTCAATTATTATGAGCAAATTAACTTTAAAAGACCATAGAGAGTAATTACAGAGCGTTCTGAGTAAAAAATTATTTCAAAATATTCCTCCGCTGTCTTACAGCACATTTTAGCGCTGTAATAGCAATTGAAGACATAGCTTTCTGAATAATACCCGGGTCATACTGGATGGATGTAGCTGCTTTGTATATTGTTTGGTATTAGCTTATCTCTAGTTTAAAGTTTATTGCAGCAAACTAAACTTTTCATAAACGCCCAAAGGTAAAAGTCGAGTGGTATTAGGTCTGGTGATCTCGGAGGCCAAAGAGCTGCAACTCCTAATTCATCGGTTAGCAAAGTTATTTAGATGCGTTTTTTCATCCATTCGTGTGAAACATCCTCCATTAATTCCGGCAAATTTGCAACTGCTCAACAAAAATCTGTGTTTTTTTTTTGCTATAGAGCAGATTAAGCGTGTAATTGTGAATTGATTTTATTTTCCTACTTCAACAATTGGTACGCTAATGGGTTTTTGTTGATGGAATTCTACAATCGATTTAAATCATCAAAGCTTGTACCATTTTTTCTTAAAAAATTAAATGTGTTCGACAAACGAATGCAACATAAACAGATATTTACATAAGTACGTATTTATTTTTTTAAGCAAAAATAGCTCATCGTACGGAAAAAACTTAAAAGCGCTTTTATGTTTTAAATCGAACGTGAAACACGAAAATAGTTTTTGTTTTGCAAAAACACATTGGCGTACCAATTTTTATTTCAAAAATAGCAAAAAAGTGGTTTTTATTGCCTGGCGCTAGGTATTAAAAGAATATTTGAAATATCTAAAGCTCTATCCATAGGTTTCGAAAATATTAATTAATTTACGTTTCTTTGTGCAAGTGGAGGCCTTTTTCCCCAAAGAATTATTTCTAGATCATTATCAAGAATGCAAATTTTATTTTCCATGTAGAATCATACTTTTAGGCAATTGCACTTCAATAAGAAACACCCTGTATGTTACCACTAAATAGTACAGCGATTGTGTTTTGCTTAAGGAGGAGTAAACTCACATTCCAAGAATACAGGGTGTCCAGGAAAATGTGGGCATGCAGAAAATAACATCACAAGTTTCTAGCCACCCTCAAGATATACGCCCCTAAAACACGCGGCTGAAAATCGGCTTTTATTAAATCATTTTTAAACTGCTAGGGATAATAATATTTTTTATTATTACCGATCTAGCAGACCGTTTAAAATAGTTCATTTGCAGCTCATTTTGCTGTTTGAGTTCGTCAAGAACCCGCCAGCTTTCACACATTAATCCTCACATTATTAGCACTCTGTACGGTAAAAACGCAAGAGGATTTTATTTAGAATCTGAAGATTAAACTAAAAAACGTGTCTCTTGGTTGAGATCGATAAAATAACGGGTTTCCATAAAACGCCTATTATTAAATCAAATTTTAATTAGAGGTTGGTAGGAAGGTCCTGAAGAATTCTTTTGCTTAAGAAATAGTCATGTTAATTGGACACTATGAATCAGAAATTTTTTGAGGTAAACATTTGAGATAAAACATTTTAAAAATTAGAAAAAAAACTAAAAATGTACAGGGTGGGTCAGCTTAAGTATGTAGTAAACAGACTTGTTTCATTCGTTAAAACACGTTATTTCAAGATACGTTTTATCGTTTATCATCGTAGAAAAACGTTTATCATCGTTTAGGAGATCGAGAGTTTGTGTTAGCCTATTCAATCTTTTTCCCATGTTCCTCAAGTTTAAACATAAGTTAAACTATTTGAAAAAGTGCAAGGTGATGTTTTTCGGAGCTCTGGCCCCTTTTACGATTGAGGAATTGTTGTGGGCGTACCACAACAATTCCTTTTTTTTTTGGTTTGGTTTTTCTAAGTTTTTGGTCCTTCGCATTTTTTTCGCAGCTGTAACTGTTGTCTAGTAATTGGAAAAACTGCCTGAAGAACATTTTATTGAAAATATTTAATTTAAATTTAACGAAACTGATTTAACTGGTCTGGAGTGGTCCCAATTCACATTCCACTTCGGTTTTGAGAAAAGAAAATTAAAAATGAGCCAAAAATATGTTTTAAATAAAATGCTCTTTTATAAACTTTTTGAAAATACTCGAACGGTTACAGCTTTGAAAAAAATGCTTCCAAATTGAAGGAGAAACCCAAATCTTCGCAAAAAAGCCAGTGGCGAGCCACCAAAGTTTTACGGAACTGAATCAGCCAAAGCAAAAAACCTTTGGTAGAAATTACAAGAAAACTTCCTGATAGAAACTAAATCAACTTACCGAGTCAAAAACAAAAAAAATATTCCCACTTGGTTTTTTTAATAGCACAGAAAAACTACTTCTATATTGTGCAAAAATTGTTCACCTTCACACATGTTACGTTGTGAAATGATAGATGTTTAAGTGCTAATCCTTAAGTAGTAAGGGATTAGGCTTAATCAAATGACAACTTGAATTTTACAGTTAATCTTGGCCATTTGCGTTGGAACCTAATCTGATTTTCCTCTTATCATCCCATTGATGCACAGTTCATTGTATCCAAAATAGTTATTTTGCAAAAAGGATCAAAAGATAGCCAATTAAAACAAATAACATTTAATTACAACTTAAAATCACAATATAATAAACCTAAACTAATAATCAGCAGCCGTATTAGATAAATAATCCCTGCGGCCGATGTTGGAAGCCTGTTTGTTTTGTTGGGCCTCCAATTTCGGACAGTCAGTGATTCTGTGCCCCAAGCCGCCGCAATAGCTGCAGCCCCTTTCATCTCCAACTTCCAAGTACTTTTCACTGTCGGGGCAGATTTCGGATAGAAAGGCCGGGACTCTTTGCTTGGCTTCGATCAGCAAGTGTTTTAAATCCAGAAGAACCATTTCATCGTTGGACTTGTTGATGAATGTAGTTGCTAAACCGGTGTTTTCTGATCGTCCGGTACGTCCAATTCGATGCACGTAGTTCTCGACATCATCAGGCATGTCGTAGTTGATAACATGCTGAATTTCTGGAAAATCCAGACCTTTTGAGGCAACATCTGTGGCGACTAGAACATCTTTTTCATGCTTGCGGAAGGCCTCAACAGATTTGGATCGTTCTTCTTGGTCCTTCCCGCCATGGATTGCTACAGCTTCCACTCCTTTCAGGAGAAGATATTCGTGAATGGCATCCACATCTTGCTTCTTTTCGGCGAAAATCAGCACTGGAGGTTGAGTCTTTTGCAGGCATTCCAACAGATAGACGATCTTGGCTTCTTGCTTCACATACTCCACTTCTTGAGTTACATTCATTGAAGCTGCCCCTGCTCTACCCACGTTTATTGTGATGGGTTTCACCAAAGCCGATCTGGCGAAGTTCTGGATTTTCTTGGGCATAGTGGCTGAGAAAAGCAGCGTCTGCCTTTGGCCATTGAAATAAGAAAAAATCGTTCTTACGTCTTCTTCAAAGCCCAGATCAATCATCCTGTCTGCCTCATCCATGCACAAATATCGGCAAACCGAGAGTTTGACTATTTTCTTTTCCAGCATATCCATTAATCTTCCAGGAGTGGCCACCATGATGTGAACCCCTTTTTGAATTATTTCAATTGCTTCATTCACAGGCACTCCACCAATTGATAGGCAGCTTCGAATCTCTGGCAGTCGTTTTTTCTTCAAGTGGGAGCAGAAGTATTGAATAATATCAAAAGTCTGTTTCGCCAGTTCTCTCGAGGGGCAAATAATTAATCCATATGGGCCCTCGTTCTTAATAAAAGGCATTTTAATCTCCTGCTCCAGACAGAACATTATCAGTGGCAGGACAAACACCAAAGTCTTGCCAGATCCAGTGAATGCTATGCCAATCATGTCTCTGCCCGATAAGACCGTTGGAATGCCTTGTACTTGAATAGGGGTGGGTTTGTTTATGTGTTTTTGCTTCAACCCTTCCAGTATGCCCTCATGGAGCTTCATATCTTTAAAAGACTTCAATGGAGGAGGAATCGCTGCGCCTTCCACTAGTATTCTAAGATTGTTCCTGAGTGCTTCGTGTCTGGATTGAGGAAAAGCCAAAACGTACCTAGGTGGTGTCCAGCTGGTTTTGATAGGATCATTGTACTGAATTCCTTTGGCCAGCTCGCTTACGCCCATCAGGGCCTTTTTCTCGGCAACGATTTCCAGAATTTCCTCCTCCTTTTTCAATTGTCTTTCAGCAGCGCTCACTTTTTTGGCCTCTGCCAGTTTTCGGAGCTCGTTGTGTTGGTCCAACAAGGGAATGTTGTTCTTCCTGCCCCAGATCTCCTCCTCCTCCTCATCGCCGCCCAGCTCGTTTTCGCTGGTCGATCTCTGGTTGTTCAGGTCGGAATCCTTCAGTTGCCCCAGGCGCCCTATTTTCAAGAGTTGTTGTTTTTTGCGTTCTTTCACTGGTACGTACGGAACATACTCGTCGTCTGATTCGGATTTCTCCTCGTCAGACTGTTTGTACCGCTTCCGCGGTGGCTCTTGAGAAGTCATAGTATAAGCACGCTAAATACTTTGAGCTGGGCTGCAGTTTTTGTTAATAAAACACTTTTATAAATTTTATGGCTTGGTGCTGTGGCTTGGTGTTTGTCAACTAATACGTTAATGAGGTTAGGTTGCCCCCATGCACCGTGATTGTTGACAGGGCGTGGCAGGTTTCCATGTAAAAGAGGCATCAGTGCTTTTTTATTAGTACTGTAATTATTATTGTTATTCTTAAGATCATTGGCAGTTGATTCACCTCCAAGACATTTGAAGGCATTCAGAGTTACTTTGGGAAATTTCTGTAACTAGTTCATCATGTTCGTAAGTTCATTATACAAAAGCAAGTAATTTTTTTCACTTCTAATTTGTGTATTWTCATTAGGAAAAAATMCCAATTTTATAAATAATRTTTTTATAATAAAGTACCAATTATTTGAAAAGTYTAAAAATGTTGCCTKTTAATAGTATATGGAAAGGAAGAAGCAACTTGAGCATGCTTTCCAGACTGAAGTTTACTCTGTCTGTCCTCTTCTCTGATAGAGAGAACACTGTAGCGCTTTCTCTTTCCTGTCTATGCGCCTGCCACACTACTTGCCCTTCTTTATCTTATGGCTATAAACGTTGGTTAGAAGCACAGAACATCCCCCCAAGACGATGTTCTGTGGTTAGAAGTAGGAAGACAGCAGTGAGTTCTGTGTTTGTGTTAGTTAAAATCGAACATATTCCTTGCTGGACAGAATTTTAACACTTGGAATGGAGCAAATACTTGCCAAGTTATTGGTGCCAAACAGCAACATCGTTCATGAGGTAAAGTTGCCGAGGGCTTAACAAATTGCCCTTTTTATAACCTAGCTTTCCACGTGCGAGCCGGATTTATATCTTAATATGTTGCACGTTTAGGGCACAAAAGAGCTAAAGGAGTATCTGAAAAAACCGGACGCAATTTTGTCTCTGTGCGATGTGGTGGCCGGATGCTCAAATCCCCAAATCAGACAATCCGCGTCTGTATTGCTGAGGAGAAAATTTGTTAAACGCAGGCAATGGAACAAAGTGGCTGTAGATGTTAGAAATCGGTAAGAATCTCATCCATATGGCGAAGTCACTGATTTAACGCCGATTGTTGTTGCAGGATCAAACAGGGTATGCTTCAAGCACTGATCAAAGAACCGGAGAAACTTGTCAAGAACTCCATCGCCCAACTAATAGGAATCATTGGAAAACACGAATTTCCAGACAATACGTGGCCTGAGGTCTTCCAATTCATTCACACGTTGTGCAGCAGCGATGTCACCGTGGATAAAGAGGTAAGTATTATGCTCTGGCGAAAAATGAATCTAATATGACTTATTTCGCGAGAAATGAGAAATAACAGCAATATAAATGAAATTGTGTTCAGAATCCTGAAAAAATGCAAAGATAATGTGAAGGTGGACAAACTAATAATCTTACTAGAGGGATGGAAATTAAATAATTTTAAACACTTTCATATTCATCTGTATTTTACTGAGTTCTAGCATTCATTTAATCATCTGTTACAAAAACGGCTTTTAAGCCCCATCGTTCACCATTTGCGACTGCTTTTAAACTTGTATCTAATTAGAGCAATAAAAAATAAGGATGTGACTCAACGTTTAGGACTGCACTCTGCTTAGTGGATGACTAATGTTTCCACACGTGAAATTCAATTAATTTATCGGTTGAGCTGTGAATGCTTGTACCGTCCGGATCTAAACATAATTTTTTGCAGTTATTTTGATATAAGTGAGATTATTCACATAAAATTTAAACATTTAGTAGAGAGTCGTTGGGATTGTAATCTTCAAACTGCTTGATGAATGATTTCGGGTATGGTGCTCCCTTGCGGGTGATAACAATTGCGCTTTTGTACATGCGACTTCACAGGTACCCAATAACAGCAAATTACATAGTAGGCATGAGTTTCCTTTAGATAGTGGTGATTCACAGAATAATCAAGGGCGGTGTTAGGTGAGCTCACGCTGAGTTTTAAGGAAAGGAGCATATACTAATGAAACAGCCAGGCGTTACTACCCTTTTCACCCAATTCAAGAATTTAGACCCTAGAAAGAGCCCTGATCTCACCCTGAACTGATCGACAAGAGTCGCAATATGTGAGGTGCGAAAGTCAGTCGCATCAAATACTCTCTGGAGCTTGTTTCACTCAACTTTACCAAAGTTCACTCTCGGGCTCTACAACTCTATAAGTGTTCGTTCATCCTCCCCAGCCTAATACATCAGTATTTATTAAACGATCTCAAATAGTGTTAGTTATTCCAAGTCTGAGTTATTCCTGCAGCTGCTCCCAACTTAATTCGCCATACACTACTTCGTTCGCAGACACTTTGGTCCTTCGAGTAGCATAAACTCCTCCAACAGAGATAACACTGCCTTGGTTTGATTGAATTCAATCTTAACCCCTTTTGATTCGTGCATGTACATGGTAAATGGTTGAAAAACTACATTCGCCTTTGTTTCCTTAATTTTTTTGAGCTCATTCAAAAGAGTAGTTAGTACTGACAAATTTGGCCCTTTTGTTATGTAGTCATGTCATATCATAAAGGTCAATTTTTGTCTAAAACGACCAACAGAGCTTCTGCCTAAAATACAATTTTCCCTGTAAAAAACAACCTTTTAAGGCGTGCTTTTGAATCGCCATTTTTCCCAGTCGCATATAAGTTAGGGGCAAAGTAATCTGCTAAACCCCAAAATCTACGACGCCGACGCCGGGAAAAAGTGTCTAAACGCGCATAAAGTAGCTATAACTATTGGTAAAATGTGTGCAAACGTTCGGGTCGATCTCAAATGGTTCCAGAACTAGTCGAAAAAGCAAAAAAAAATACTGGCGCATATTCGCTTGTATAAACGAATCGTCTTTTTAATCATAAAATGCCATTTTGCTCTAAGACTAGAACTTTTAACTCAGACAATTTTTTGTGTCGAAAACAATGACCTTCCAAGGCATGTTTTCATATTGCGATTTTCCCCAGTGGCCTAGAAGCTAGGGGTAAAATAATCCCATCTAAACACCAAAATATACGCCGCTGACTCCGGAAAAAAGTGACTAAACGCTCATAAAGTAGCTATAACATATAAGACAAACTCAAGCTTTTCAAGAAGGCAAATACCTGAAAGGACGTTAATTTTTACCAATCATGAGTTTGTGTAAAATTTTAAATCTGATGCTGGGACTGTTGTCTCGCCAAAACGTAATGAAATAAATGATGTTTAAAAATTTTTACTTCACACTTTGACTGAAACCCAGGAAAGATAGGAATATCATAACAAGTCCACGTAGTCGGGAAAATAAATCAGAAGTAGCTATAACTATTGGTAAAATGTGTGCAAACGTTCGCGTCGATCTCAAATGGTTCCAAACTTTTGACTCAGACAATTTTTTGTGTAGAAAACAATGACTTTCCAAGGCGTGTTTTCATATGGCCAATTTCCCCAGTGGCGTAGAAGCTAGGGGCAAAAGAAACGCTTATAAAGTAGCTATAACTGTTGGTCAAATGTGTACAAACGTTCTACGTGTGCATTAGTCTATCTCCAATAGTTTCAAATGTACAGTCGGAAAAGCAAAAAAATACGGACTATTTTCACATATCCTCATTCGCATTCTCTGCAGGAAATAATCCTCTGACCTGCTTTTGTTTAGTGACTTTGTAGACTTGAAAATCCCATCAACACTTTTTTAAATTCATATAAACTTCCTACTTAACTGTTTTAATTTTGTACAATTTATTAGATATATAGACCTAAAACTCCTATTTCAGATGGGAATGTATACATTATCGGTAATGACCGAAATATCGCACAGTTCCTACATAGTCCACGCTGAATCATTTGCAGTGTTATTCACCAATATTTTCAATGGTTTGACTCAACCCAACAACCATTTGGCTTACTACACTGTGGTAACTATGAAGAATTTGGCACCGATCATTGGAGGACATCAGCAGGTAAACCGGCGAAAAACAAAATCAGCCCAATTAACCCCCTAACTAACTCCTCTAATTAAAGATGACCAATCTCTACTATCAACTGTTACCAAGAGTTTTGGAAATAATCAACACCTTTGCCAGTGAAGATGAAAAGAAGGCTTGCGATCTGTTTGAAATATTGGAAGAACTCATTGAATATGCCATAGCAGTTGTGACGCCTCATATAAAATTAATTATAGAGATGTGTTTGCATATTGGCAGCAACGCGGAGATTTCAACATCGGTGCAGATTAAAGCGATCAGTGTTGTAGGTGAGTAAAGAGGAAATATTCGAGATAGACATCATTTTCACGTGAAACATTACTTGAAGGTTGGCTGATCAGGGCTAAGGGCAAAGTGGTTCAGAAGAATAAGCTGGTAGAGCCGATTATCGATGTTCTGTTGAGACTGATGGCCCAAAAGCCTGACGACGAGGGAAACGAAGAGTATTTCCTAGGCGATCCCGATCAGTTCACTTCGATCACTGTGTCCACCCAAACTCTAGATTTAATAGCTTTGAACATCCCTGCTGAAAAAGTCGTGCCTTATTTACTCACTAAAGTCGAACCAGCTTTGAAGGGCGGAGATGTATATGCACAAAAAGCCGCTTATCTTGCTTTGGCAGTTCTAGCTGAGGGCTGTTCTGAGCATATACGAACTAAATACTTGAATGAATTTTTGAAATGTGTTGGCAACGCCATACATGATCCCAATGCCGTTGTAAGGAATGCCGCCTTTTTTGCATTGGGGCAATTTGCAGAAAATTTACAGGTTTGAGCCTTAGCTGATTGGAAAAGTTCCCTGTTAACATCGCAATTTTTCAGCCGGAAATTAGTCAGTATGCAGGCGAGCTTCTTCCCGTACTGTTTGAATGCCTCAATCAAGTTCTGAAGCAAATGGAAGTGGAAAGAGCGGATCCACCTAGTTTGGATCGACTGTTTTATGCTCTAGAAACGTTCTGTGAAAATCTCGAAGAGGGTCTAATCCCCTACCTACCCACTCTCATGGAGAGACTGTTTCTTTCTTTGGATCCAGAATGTTTCTCCACTCAGCTAAAGAGGGTAGCTTTGAGCGCACTGGGAGCGGCCGCCACAGCCGTTAAGGAAGCAATTCTGCCATATTTTCAGAAGATTATTCAAGTGCTCAATATCTACATCAATTCGGATCCCAATTCACCGTTCCATTCAATTCAGTGCTATGCTATAGGTTCGAAGGAATGCAAACGAAAACCACACGAGATTAATGGCAAAGTTTTTTATTTTTGTAGAAACTTTGGCGGTAGTCGCTCAGAACGTTGGCACAGAAAACTTCAAACCCTTGGCTGGTGAATCGCTGCAGTTGGGTTTGAGGATTTTGGACGGCACTGAAGATCCGGATGTGAAGAAGAGCATCTATGCGCTCTTTGCAGCCCTCGCTATTGTTATGAAGGAAGAAATAGCGCCGGTTTTGCCCAAAATTGTCCATGAGATGATTGAAAGTATACAGAGTAGTGAAGGCATTGTGGTAAGTGAGTTGTTATTCAACGCACAGATGGGATGACTGAACGGTTTTCTCTAAAGACCCACTATGACGAGGAAGAAAAAGATGAAATCGATGTGTACGGGGAGCTATCTGATGAGGATGAAGAGAACATTGAAGAAGATATAGATAACAGCTCGTCGGCCAGTGACGATTCCAATCAATATCGATACTCAGTGGAGAATTCGTATAATGAAGAAAAAGAACAGGCGTGTTTGGCACTGCGGGAAATTTGCTTGAATACTGGGTAGGATTTTCTCCAATCGCTCCTTTACTTCTGTTATTAACGTTTCAACTTTGTTTTTACAGCATAGCTTTCCTGCCCTACATCGAATCGAGCTTCGAAGAAATTTTCAAACTAGTGAACTACCCTCAAGACGATATTAGACGAGCCTCAGTAGAGGCATTGCAACAATTCTGCATTTCCTTGCATAAGGTAAAATTGGCAGTCTGAACTGTTTCCGGACCATTCAAAGAATTTTCGCTGTCCTCCAGGTGAACACCCCGGAATCCAAACAAACCCTCTACAAAGCGCTGCAGTTTTTCGTGCCCAAATGCGCAGAACTGATCAGAAGCGATGAAGAACGTTCAGTGGTTATGGATTGTCTAGATGCATTTACCAAGCTTCTACATGAAATTAAGGGTGAAATCTTTGTCGGAGATGGACATCGGGAAGCCATAATGAATTGTGTGGTCGAGGTTTTAACTATGAAGGTAAAAATCACGGAAGAAATGCTTTATTGTAGTGATTTGCAGCTATTAGTTCATGTTCATTGCGGATTTGAAATTTTCACTTTAACGCTCCTAAGTTCAACAGGATATTTTGCTTGACTTCTGCAAAATATATTAAGCAAAAAGGTCGAATTGTCGTGTCTAAAAATCGAAAACCAAAACTTCGTTGTTCAACAGCGGTAAACCTGAAATCTCATTCACAGTGGTTTCAATAGGTTCTCAATTAAATATCGTTCGTGCATTGTATGATGAACTAGTAGGAAAATGCGTCTTGCTGGAATCTAAATTGATTGCAGACGAAAATTCAATGAAGAAACGCAGAGAAAACCTAAGGAAACGAAAGTCTTGCAAAGAAAAAGACGCGGCCAGTTAGTGCTTTGTTAATCAAAGGAAGTATAAATTAAATTTAAATTCAATTGTTAAAAGCGGTTATGGAAAAAATCGAGCAAAATTGAAGTCTTCCAAGCTCTAAGGAATTGTGACAAAATTATCATCGTAGTCGTTCGAAATTCACCTCAACGTGATGTTGCAAAGCTAGAACGTTAAATACTTAAAACGCGCTCGTTAATCTTAAGATTAGGTGCAATTATTTTTTCTAAACCCCCCCAAAAACAGTTTCAAGCGATCTAGGCAGCAACAGTAATGCACAAAAAACTCCTGCTGAAGATCAAATAAAGAACAATTTTCGGGAATATTTTAGACTGTGTGCCAAGATACAGATGTGGGCACTCAAACTGATGCGAACGAAGACGAAACTGAAGCTGAACAAGATGAATTGCTGCTCGAGTCAGCTGGGGACGTTATTCCTAAGTATGCGGCGGCCATCTCACCCGATGATTTCGCCCACTATTTCCCCAATGTTTTAAAACTTCTATCCGGCCGCACGGTAAAAAGCCCATTTTCTAGCTGGGTAACACTGGTATATGTAAGAAATTGTTTAGGTTAAACAGAACAGCGTGAGTCAACGATCATTCGCATATGGCACTTTGGCCGAATGCATGAAAGCTCTCGATGTCTATGTTGAAAGATTCGTGCCAGATTTACTGAAAATGTGGCTTACCGGAGCCAAGGACGGGGCAGACGAAGTGAGAAACAATGCCATTTTCGGTTTGGGGGAAATGGTTTTGTATGGCAAACATACGGTTTTTGGGTATGTTTTTCGCGAATCAAATGTGTGTTTTGGTTGGGAAGACTCACATTTTGTCATTCGTAGATACTACAATGAAATACTCAATGCTTTATCTCATGCTGTGGGCAAAGAAGGGCACGCAGGGACTCTGGACAACATTTGCGGGGCCCTGGCTAAAGTGATTATAGCCAATCCCGAAGGAATTCCTCTAGAGGAGGTTCATGATTTAGAGCTTCTCGATATTGATAATTTATTTTGTAAATTTGCAGGTATTTTCAGCTTTTTTGCAAAAACTACCGCTCCGCGATGATTTCCAAGAAAATGAGGCTGTGTTCAATTGCTTTGTCTCGCTGTATCAGCAAGGCAATCCCGTGATAAAGAAACATTTAGCTGATGTCATGAAGGCGGCCGTTCATGTGTATTACAGGAACCAAACTCCAAATGATGGTAAGTCCTCGTTCTATTTGTAACTTTGTGGGGATTGTTTTATTGCGATTTCAGATACAAAGCTAATTTTGATTGAGTTTATCAAAACTCTGACTAGAGATTTCCCACAAGAATTTGCCCAAGTCGTAAATTCTTTCGGCAATGAAGCAACTGAGTCTATACAGAAGTTGCTGACCTCTTAAGTGATATTATGCATATTTAAATTTATTTATTAAAACTATATTTCAAAAAACTATCGCCAAGAGTTACGAATAACTGATCTACCCATGCTTCCTTATTGTTCAAGACTTAGGTGCTAAGTTCGTTTTGCTATTGACAATGTTTGTTGTATGTGGAACTTCTGGGAATGATCACTGAAAATTAAATTATTTTCTTTTGGATCTATCTAGTATTTGCTTAATAATTCGAAAGTTTCATTGTATTGAATATTGGTAAATTCGATGTTCTATCTATTGTTTTCATGTAAAACCAGTTAATCTAATGTTAAGTAGTTAATGTAGCTTATATCGAAGATGAAAATAAAGCCTTTTCTATGTTTTGAGTTTCAAGTTTTTCTTGGGGATCAGTTGTAGTTGAAAAAAGGTTAGAACTAGGCGGGAGAATAAGGGTTATTCTTGAAATAAGGGGGCAGGTAACGACATTTTATTATCACACTTAGAAACTACATTTGCCTAATCCAAAAGTGTCAGGAAAGTTTATCATTCTTTGGAGGCGAATTTTCCATTGTAATATGGCAAATATTCTGCAACGACTTTCCAGTCGGTAAGATAAACTAAAAGGGCAGCAGCCGAAGTTCCATAAACCGTTGCGCTACCCGCCCTGCCAACAAAAGTATCATTTCACCTAATTTGATATGTACGAATTACATAAAATGCGGTAGGAATAAGCATTAAGGTAAGGAAAAGAACAAATTACAGATAAGGAATTGAATATTCTGCAACTTATTAGTTATAAAAAATGTAGTTTTTGCGATGGTTTTGCACAGCTGCGTTGTATTAATGCTCCAATATCAATCATTATGATTTGTTTGCTACGTAGATCATGCAAATATACGCTCAAACGCTAGGTTTTGGTATTAAGAACAAGGGCTTAATATCCAAATAGCCCCGTATGATTCCAGAATATCCTGACTAATTAACTTTTAATGGTAAGAATTATTGCAGAAGATCCGTTTTACAAGCTGCAAATCAGGGAGAGTATCACTTAATAAGGAGACAGGATCAGGGCTTTTGGAGAATCCAAATTAGCCAAGTTGGGACCAATACATGTTACATAACTGCATGGCAAGGAAATATTAATCAAATGTTTGTCTTACCACAAGCTAAGAATTTCCACTGGTTTCCTGCCGACTAAACGTAATAAGGGCATTTTGAATAGTTATTGGAAATATTTTTGCGGAACTTTTCAATTTAATTTTTACAAGTTTCTCGCTGGTGTGTCAAAATTTGACTTTTTTCAAGAATAAAATGACAAAGTTTACAGAAAGATACAGTTGACAGATGTAGGCGATTGAAATGCTCAACATATTCGTGTCTGCTCACGTCGTGTGTATTCGGGCGATGTTCCATAAACGGTAATAGCGCGGCGTGCGCGTGGATGCTCAGAGCGTGTGTGGTTCGGAGCAGCAATTATGTAATGTATATTTAAAAAAAACAATTAGATCTTTTCTAAGCATAGTTTTGCTGAAAACAACAGACGATTTACGAGCACTATCTCAACAAAAATATTTTAGTACAAAAGCTCTTGAAACTGGTCTAAAAACTTCGCAAAAACCTAAAAAATCAATCGGTTGAGAGTGGTAATTTTTTCAAAAAATTCCAAGCCTAAGCCAGTAAGATGTTCTGAACATTTTTCAGGGATGATCGATGTAGAATTTGACCTCGCAAAATTTTAATTTATCAGAAGTTCCTGACCTTTAAAGAGCTACCATGATAATATTTTAGAAAGCCTTTTTTTTAAGAGAATTTCTTATTTTATTAATTTAAGTGGCCATAGGACTTAAAATAAAACAATATAAACCCAACAACATATCGAGAGCTTTCGTTTCCTAATTACGCTTAAACCCAAATGGTCAATCTGTAAAAAGTTAGAAGCAAATTACGAATCGATTTAGCAGCGCTACCAAAACATAACGCTTGCAACCGCAAAAAAGCTGATAATCAAAGTGAAAGTGCGAATTCCTACATGTGCATGAAACGGTCGAAAAAATCCTTGTAGAAGGTCAGACAGTATGGAATAAACGGTTTAAAGGAAGTTGGCTTGCAAAGATTCAAGCTGTGAAAAGCAAAATCATTCAAGGGAGCGATCTTTAAGAATGTGTCCTTACATTGGCTGATAAGCGCAGTACTTCCTGAAGTCACTCCTCTATTTTAGAGAAAAAAATGTTTTAACTTGTAATTTTTGAAGATATTCAGGTTTTTTGGAAACCACAACAACTGGAGAACTTCAGGCGCAGGAAACAACCAAGTTTCTGAGAGCTGAGCAGAAAAAATGCGCTTTCAAGTCATCTTGAGGTCAATATCAAGAACTTAATATTAAATAGCAAAACAATTAGCGACAAATTTACACCTTCATTCATTCTCTCAGGACATGGAAGCGTTGGTGGGAGCATTTCAAACTACTCACCGCAAATTCTTTACTCGTCTGCTCTGCCATTGGATACCGGTTTTTTCTGGACCATTTCCACTTCGTTTTTGTTCAAACGTCCATCTTCAGGCGCTTTAGCGGCCCATGGTTGCAAATTTCCAGACGCAAAAGTTCCGTAAAACACGGCGCCAAACAAGTAAATTCCGGCCGCAATGAAAAACACCGTTTCCCATTGATCGGTGGTCTGAAACCCCCAAAGATACCGGATGAAATGGATTAGAGAATGAAAATTTTAGACATAACTAAGGATGCAGACCAATAAGTTGGGCATATTTTTTCGACGACTTGCCTCTCGTAGGCTTAACGTTTGCGACTGGTGTTTATATCAAATTTTTGTTTAGTTTCAGCTCTTGAGCAGAAAATTAGACAGTCCTGTACAAAAAACTCACTTACCGGTGTATACACGATATATCCAGTAAGGGTTGGACTAACAATTCCTGGGATTGTGGCAAACGTGTTACTGATGCCCATCAGAATCGACGCATATTGAGGGGCCAAATCCAAGTGGTTTACGCTGCAATAAAATCAAATTTTTCCAAACACTCGCACTGTTTTTGTTGAGTTTTACCTGAATCCTGGCCAGGCCAAAGAGCCCAAACCGACGGCCAAAGTGAGGCACAACACGGAAGCGATTCGGTTGGACCAAAAGGCAGCAATCAGCATGAAAACCGTCTGCGACAGAAACCCTACACAGTTGAACACTTTTCGAACTTGTGTGGTAGTGAGGAGCCTTTTTTCCAGAAGCCAATCGGCCAGCTGGCCGGAAAACTGGATGAGAATGGACATTACCAGGTAGGGAAGGGCGGAGAGAAATCCAGATTTGCCGAGATCGTAATTATATGCATCTGCAATTGTTGAGTTGTTAGTATGCTATTCTAGTCTCTAAGGGGTTTATCTGGAAGATTTCTTTTCCAATTTTTGCGTGTTCTGCCTAATAGGCGGTGTTTTACAGTGAACTGTTTTGGGGTGCGATATTTAAGGTTGTTTTGTGTCAAAAAATATGCAATTATTTCCTACCATTGAATGGGGTTTTTAATTCCCAATCCAGTGGCATAAAATCAAGCGCTGTAGCTCGAATGGTTCTTAAGGTATGACCAAAAAGGTGGCGTCATGTTTGAACGAAGGCAATGGACCAACTTTGACAAGACCGCGTAAAACTGAAAGATATATTGAAAATTGGCTTTTTGGGTGAAAACTGCTAAAATTTGCCAAATTTTCTATCCAGAGATATAAAAATGACCGAGCGCGGCCTTCATTGGTTCATAAGGTAAAAGCGGAAAGGTCATGTTTGAAACGATCGCATTCTTTTTTATGTAAGTTTATAATTTCCGAAATTTGCATTTCGTGTGAAAACTGCCTCGATTTTTTAACTCGACTTTCACTTTGTGATTGGTATATTTAATAGGCCTGGGTAACACTATGTTGAGTTGCGCTATTGAGTTGTTCCCGCTCTCTGAGTTAACAAGTTATAACTCATCGGTTCATGAGTGATTTATTACAGATTTAGAGACCCGAGACTGGAATTTTCACATCTAAAAAGGGTTATTAACATTTGTCCTGAGTAACGTTTTACTACTTCGTTCAAACAACTAAAAAAGTAATCTAGATTTTCCCAGCAGTAGAACTGAGTCCAAAGAAAGTGACGAGTTTTCTTGTAAAATCAATCTCTTAATTTTTTTGTATAAAAGATTCAGTTTGCCAGTATTTTATAGTAAAACGTTAGGAAATACGGAGTTTTCTGTTTAGAGACAGTGTTGTTTAGAAATTTTATCCTGAAAGTGAAGAAACTCCCTTTCCAAGGATTTTCCAAATAAACGAGTATAAACTTTAGCTTTTCAGGTTGGGAAAATACTTTTGGGAAAAAGGCCCAGAAATAATTATTAGGGTTTTGTCCATAATTCGAAGCAGCAAAAAATTTTCCAAAATTTTTTGCAAAGCTGTTAAGGAAGCGAGTCTTCCAATAAAATAAAAGATTGTCAGTATTTTAAGTCAAACTAAAAAATAATGCTATTTTTGCGTAGAAAGAATTGCTTAGTAGAAACTTTGTTAAAACTGGAATGACCTGAAAATCTAAAGGAACTTTAAAAATATTCAGAGCGATGAAGACGGCGATTTTTTAAAAGTAATTTTTTGTAAACTTTTGCCCATTTGTCGATTTTTCAAGATAATTCTAACTACTGTCGGTAAAAAACTGTATAACATTATTTTGGTGCCAAACTCTAAGCTGAAATGGGTTTTCTAAAGATCTGCAACCGATAAATGACGCGAATTTTCTAGCAAAATTAATTTTGTAATTTTTGGCTGAAAAGACCCCATTATATTGTCAGAAATGCAGAAAATCATCAGAAAATAATAATTTTTTTGCGTTTTCGATTAAAAACTTTTAGTTCTGCTTTGGGTTTAGGAGAAAACCTTAGTGGCTTTCGGGAAAAAACGGGAGGAATTTATTCTCGGTTTTGAGCCGAATTCGACGGTAAAAAAGTTTTTATAAAATTTTTACAAAGCTATAAATTTATCTTGTAATTTTTCGCGTCAATGACCTCCAGATTGTCAGTATTTTTAAGTGAAACTCTACAAAATAGATCGTTTTTCAGTAGAAAATAAAGCAAAAAAAGCAGTCAAAACTAAAAAATCACATTTTTTAACAAACTCTACAGTCTTCAGAGGCATGGAGGTGACGAGATTTGCATATGATCTGGTATAAACTTTCGCTTATTCTTTTCGTTTTTTGATAGAAAATTATTTGATTTTTGTTCCAAATTCGAAGCTGGAAAGGGATTTTAAAACTTTTTACAAAGCGACGAAGGATCGAACTTAATTTCATAATTTTTCGCGGAACTGGAAGTGAAACTAGAAAATTGAGCATTTAGAAGAAATAGCAACTTGAGTAAAACTGGAAAATTCCGAAATTTTAAAGAAATTTTAAAAACATTATTATAAATGGCCGTTAAAATAAATATAAAAACAAGTAAAAAAAATCACCAACGTGTTCCCAGCAACAGAACTGAATTATTGCGCCGGTGCTTTAGGTTGGCGCACCAAACCATTTGCGTAGCACTGCGCCAACTCCTAAAAATTAATTGAGTTACCCAGGCCTAATTTTTACTTCTCTACCCAGTGGTGGGAAAACGAAAAACGTAGTTCAAATGGCTTTTGAGATATGACCAAACCAATTTTTCCAAAACCGCATAAACTAAAAGTTTTTTGCGTGCAAACTCCCAATATTCTGTTACATTCACTATTCAGTAGTGAAGAATTGAAGGCGCCAGCTCAGATTGTTCCTGTGATATGAACAAAAAGGAATTTCATGTTTGAAACGTACCTAAATGTGTTCTATTTAAAATTTACTTTTTGGGTGAAAACGGCCACTTTTCATAAGTGGAGTTCCACTTTATGAATGGGTCTTGAATTCCTCATTCTTCTCCGAAAAAATTCCAGTAGAGCAGTATTTTGTGCAGTACTGATAGACACGCCACTGAAGTAATTTTTCTACGTTGAAGAACATGCGCTTTCCTCGACTGAAACTCGTTAAATTATATCCAATTTTTTACAAAAACTTAGAATGCGTGACTGATCTTGCGTTTTCTTAGCTAAATTTCTACACCCGCTAAATCAGTAACGATAGATTGTTGGCCTGCCGTTTACTCAACAAAATAGGGTAATTTTCTGACGTAAAACACGTGGTTAAAAGACTGTCCTGATAAAACCTTGTACTTGATGCAAAAAAGATTCGTTTGGGAAAAATCATGCTGTGGACTCACCTTTCAAATATTTGGGCAACTGTGTGAGCAACGTATAAAATCCCCAATTTTCCGCAAAATGCGACACTGTGATCGCCCAAACGGGCATCGAAGTGAAGATCTCTTTCCACGGCACCTGAGTGCTGTTGCTTTGCATCGAAGTGCTGTTAATAGACTCTTGAATGTAGGCAAGTTCTTCGTCACTAATCCGGGGATCGTCTTCTGGTGCGCCAGAAACCAGAAACACCCACCCGATGTACCAAACCACCCCCGAGGCTCCTAGAGGAAGAAATTTGATTTGAAGGGAAACTCATCGGGGCAAATGTTCGCAAGCTTACCGCAAATATAGAAGACACTGCGCCAGCCGAGAAACTCTGCCAAATAGGCGCAACTGGGCATGGCTACAACTGTTCCAACGAAACAGCCAGAAAAGGCAAAAGTTGCCAGTCGGGCTCGTTCCAATGGCGGGGCCCATTTGGACCAAACCGTGTGGATGCATGGATATGTGACTCCCTAAAACACAATTTGAGTAGGATTTCACCCTCACAGTTCCCCCATTTACTACCTCAAAAACTCCTTCAATTACTCGAACAGCGATTAGCAGATATACGTTAACTTCAGTTAACCAGGGGGTGATAATGGTCAACACTGCGGTCACAATCACGCCAAGTCCAAATAAGGTCTTCCCTCCTATTCTGGAGGCGAAAATGCCTCCGATGAATTGAGTGGAAATGTAGCCATAAAAAAACGAGCTTAAAATGTATCCTTGCAGTTCGCTGCTCCAATCGAATTCTGGGCCCTGAATGAAATACATTTTAGCAGAAGATGACTTTTTAAGAAAACTGCGCTAGTTGGAGACTTACAAGATTGACCACAGTTCCATTTTCAGAGGAAACTGATCGGTTTTGCGTCATTGCAACCAGGGCTATGCTCAGATTTACTCTCAAAATATACACATTGAAGAAGCCGCAAAAAGCCATCGCTGCCACCACATAGCGCCGCTTTTCCCATATTTTCCAACTTGAAGAATGCGCTTCCCTACGGGAATTTCAACACTGGACTTTCCACCTTTAATGAATAAAACTCCATACCTTGTTTCCGTACAATCACTTTCATAACCGCACATGTTAACGAAACAATTCGCAAATACAACTAATCTGTTTTTTATATCGCACAAGATACCAGACGAGATTGTTAAACTTAGGTTTATGGCATTGAAAAGTAGTTTATAAGCAAATGAATGAAGGTAGAAAATTCTAACGGAACGTTCACAGCCATCGTTTTAATGGGTTTGGTAGCTTGATGGAATCGATTGCGTTAATTGGCAGATTAAATACGGTTTTTCATAAAGTACCTGCGGTGCAACGAGAGAAAAACATCCGCTAATTATCCCTCAGATTTGTCAATATTTCCGCATCGATTTACCAAAATTGTTCATTATTCATTCGGTGAATAAAAACCGACATTCATGCACGCGTACATCAGTTAAAGCACGTGTAAGAGTGTAATAAAAGTCATTATTCCCGAATAATGTCGCTAGATTTCAGCTTTCTATTAGTTTATTGCAACAATTCAATTAGACGAATTGTTTATTGAGGAAAGGAAAGTTTTGGAACATTACAGTAATCAAGTACTTGAACGTATTAAACAAAGTACCTAATGAAAGATGCTACGATAAAATTTGATTGCAAAACCATAAACTGACACAATAATAACGTAAAGAACCGGGAAAAATAATTAATACTAAAATAGGTAAAAACGCTGTACAAAAACAGGACACAATAGAATGGATTTATAATGTGTATTTCTGCAACAAAGTGAACAGGTCGAAGTGGTTTCAGAACTTGAACCAGTAAGTCAAGAAAAAATCAATTTTCAAGAATCATTTGTGCAATAAAAAAAAGCAGGCGGTGATGATGAAATAACTGCAGTTACTTTACAAACTATAGCAGATTCCATTATTAAACCTTTGAAGCATATTTTTAACTTATGCATTGATAAATCGGTATGATCTTCAGTCTATATCATCACCTTAAAAATGTAGAAGAAAATATTGTTATTTAGCTATATAAAGATTCTTAACAATCTACCTAAATATTTAAAATAATTCTGCGATAGTAGGCAGAAAAGGTAGAAACAAATCCCAAAGACTATGTATACCAAAGAGAACGAATTATAATATTAATAATATTAATAATTATTAAAAGACGCTTATTTAGGTCTGTGGGTTTTTCGCAATAGATGCTGGCAAAATAAAACACTATTTCGCATCGGATGGCGTTTCGACTATATTTAAGTCATCCTCAGGGCTCTATGAAGAGTGCCATATTTGCACCAAATTCACAGAAAGGGCAACATACCGTTCGAGGTGTATTTTTGCAAGCAAATTAGTACTCAGAACGTGTACTATGATGGACAAGATGCGCAGTTCTGAGGCCCATTCTGTTTCTTCCTTACCTCAACGATTTGTCCAATGCTGCCGGAGGAACAAATTTTCTTCTCAATATTATTTTTGTATCAGGAATCAACATCAATAGAGAAACGGAGTCTGATGTTGAGAGCAGGGTTGGGGCTTAGAATATCCAGAATTTTGCTTTTTTCTAAGCATTCGGAGAAAACCGTTAATTTTTTGGCGTAAAATCGAATCATCGCCTTGTGTGCGATGCACAAGTGAAGACATTTAGATAAAAGCTGTCCAAAGTTGTATTTTTACATACAACTTTGTCAAAGTGTTTATTCTAGTGAAAATTCCAATGTCCCAATATTCTATGAAACATCGAACAGCTCAAGAATACCGCTGCTATTTTTTGCCCCAATATTAACGAAATGAGACATGAATCTTTTCATTAAGTTTATAATAAAATTTTCTTCTTTATTGTAGTCGTCGGAATAGGTTAAAAAAATTAAATTTTTGTCATACGGAAAATAGAATTTTGCGGAAAATAATCAGCACATAAAAAATCTCGAGAAATTTTTCTTCATTTATACCGCTGTAATAGCAAATGTTTAATAAATTTTAAACACTGTTCTTTTAAACTGGCGTTCAATACATTTTACAGACATTTGACAAAAAATCTTCAATATTTTTGCTTTTGATGACTTCATAAGTATATGAGTGCTCGTTATCAATACCAGAATTTTCTTACGAATCGATTATTTAGCAAATTTTTGACTAATTTTGAAAAATCTACTCAAAATTTCGCTGTGCAGCATCTAGAGTACACTGGAAAAAATTATTTGACTGAAGAGCGGAAAGTACGTTCTAATAGCTCTGAAAGTTTCATTTTCATCGTACCCCTAAGCCATTTTAGTAAAAGTTTCAAAGATGATCTGTAAACAAGCACCAGTTAGTTTCATCAGTAAGATTTACATGCTGCATTTCAAAAATTATTTCGTAAGGAACAAAGCCAAGAAATTTTTCTTATTTTGGTGACTTTGGCAAGAGGAAAGTGTGCGTTATCAAAGCTAAAAGTTTCATAAGAAACCAGCTTCTGGTTATTGTTTAATAAATTTCCAAAAATCTGCTTCGAATTGCGTTTTTCAGCTTTGGCATTTTGCGGAAGCCTCACTTACTTTATAACTACTTTATTAAGCGAAATGAAGATTAAACCTGAATTTGATTTTTACTTATTTAGTTTGCAGAGAGTAGACTCTATCAACTCTGAAAGTTCCATCTCAAACGCTCCTTCCTTGATAAATTCAAACAAAACTTAAAAACTGTATGAGGGAATTGGTTTCTAGTACATTTTACAGACTTACAGACAGGACCTATATCTATCGATATACGTTCAACAAATCTTAAATTTTGGTGCTATTTGCAAGATAACAATGTTCGCTATTAACGTTGAAAGTTTGGCAAGAATCTAATCATTCGCTACAGTTTGACGAATTTTCAAAAATCTGCTTCACATTTCTCTTTGCAGCAACACGCTTCACGCTATACATAGTGCAATTAAATAATTAATTCTTCAAAGGTGGAATGCACTGGAGCGTAGCTTTCCAGTTACCTATAGAGTGAAAAGTATGATTTAACAGGTCTGAAAGTTTGATTTTCTTTCGACCCTTGAGTCATTTTAGAAAACTTCTCAAAAGTTTACCTATAAACTGGCCTTATTTTCACCAGTAAATTTTACATAATTCATGTCAATAATTCTTTCAAAAAGATAAACTTTTGATGTCTTTGGCAAGAGGGAAGGGTGCGTAATCCAAGCTAAAAGTTTCATGAGAAACTATCCCCCAGTTGTTGCTTAATAAATTTCCAAAAATCTGCTTGGAGTTTCACTTTTCAGCTTTGTCAATTTCCGCAAGCCTCACTTCAATACTTAATTAAGGGATACTTTTTCCTTTCTTTTCTCTACGCTTGATTACAGTTTACGAAATTTTGGAAATTTGGCGCTCAAGTAAAACAGCAGTTTTTACATTCAACTTTAAAACAATTCCAAAAACGAGCAGCAACTTGAGCAAAAGACTGAAACTTGGGAGTTTTAATAGTTTGCTCTTTCGCTTGGAATTCACAAATCAACTTTTTTTTTAAGCTGCGCTCAATTACTTTTTATAAATTTTCGTCGCGATCCGCGCCCAGTTAAGGCACCAGTTATTGAAGTAAGAAAAATCAGCGAACATTTCTGCAGCACTGCAACTTAGCGTTTTTAATAAATAACTTTTTTGCGAAAGTCTAAAATTTCCTATCTTTACTTGCGATTTATTAGATTTTCTAAACTTTTTTTAATTAAAGACAGTAAGCAGTTATTAAAGTAAACTTTAAAAATTTACAAAAAAATCCCACCGAAATATATGCAGCACTGAAACTTTGGATTCTTTAAAACTTGCTCGTATTTGTCGAAAATTCGAAATTTGTTTTAATTTGCCATCGTTTGAATGCATTTTATAATTTACGGCTCCCAATAAAAAAACACCCGAATTTAAAGTAAACATTTCCAAAAATCCACAGATTTACTTGGGACTGTAATTAATTTGCTCTTTTTCGCAGGAAATTCGAATTTTCCTTTTTTTCACCTGTGCTGAATTTCATTTTCTGAATTTTCGGCAAAGACTGCAAGCAAAATTTGTTTCAAAAAGCCGCAAAAATGACGGAAACTGGTAACTATTAATAATTTGCTCTTTTTCTACGACAATCCTAAACTTCCTGTTCTGTAAGTGTGCTTAATAATTTACTCTTTACTCTATTTTGTACAAAAATTCAAAATTTTCGTTTCTTTAGCTGCTCTGTTTACACGACAATGGCGACTAAATAAAACTACAGGTTTTAAAGTAAATTTCTCAACAATTTACTCTTTTTGAACGAAAATCCAAATTTTATTTTTCTTTATCTGCGCTTCATTGTAATGAAGCGTATGTTCACCAAATGTATTTAGTGAACTTTTGACGACACGCGCTACCAAGTAAGACACTAGTTTTTAAAGTAAACTTCGAAAAATTCTCAAAAATCAGCGAAAATTCCTGCAAAACTCAAGCTTGGGAGTTTTAATAATTTACTCTTTGCCTACCACAATCCAGAATCTTCTCTCCTTCATCTGCGCCTGATTACATTTCCTGAATTTTCAAAAACTACAGCGCACATTTGTTGCAGCAGGTTTAGAGATAATTGCGAAAAACTATCAAGAATCAACGAAATTTTCCCTTTTTATACAATTATTTAGTGTGTCCTTTTATTCGTTTTTTTTTRAATATCGTATCCGGGGCGTTTGAAGCAAGCACTTTTTATTCATGTTTTTACTTTTAATCTTAAAACTAATTGTAGAAGTAAGGAACTATTTGAATCGGCCATTTCAAAAATAATCTTAATCTAAAGTTACAGGATTATTCGCAACAAACTGTTTTATATCTATGTAGGTGAAAATATTTTAAATTAATATTTTAGTATCGCCTTTTCATAAAAAAGTGTAAAACTTTTTTCTTATGATAAAATTTTGCCATGATTTATTTCGACAATTGCTAACGCGACAAAATTTAAAATCTGTACGAGGGAATTCGCTTCTGGTACATTTTACAGGCGGTTTATCGATAGCTCATTTTGTGAGATCCAAAAATCTTTTATTTTGGTGTTATTTGCAAGATAACAATAGCTATTAACGTTGATAGTTTCGTAATAATCGATTAATTAGCTTCAGTTTGACGAATTTTCAAAAATTTGCAGCAGCTTCACTTCGTGCAGAGTGCAATTAAATAAGTAATTATTCGACGGTGGAAGGCACGAGAGCGTAGCTTTCCACTCATCTAAAGAGTGAAAACGATGATCTAGTAGGTCTGGAAGTTTAATTTCCTTCCTGCCCTTGAGTCATTTTAGAAAAATTTTCAAATGTTTGCCTGTAAACTTGCCTTATTTCCACCAGTAAAATTTACATGCCTCATTTTAATAAATCTTTCATAAGGCACAAACCAGGCAATATTTTTTCTGTTGGTTCCTTCGGCAAGTGGAAACTCTGCGTTTACAAAGCTCAGAGTGTCATTGAAAAGCATCTTCTGGTTATTGTTTAATAAATATCCAAACATTTCGCTTCCCAGCTTTGATACTTTTTAAATTTAAACCAAAAAGATTTGATTTTCCAACTACTAAATGCTGTAGATCTATGAGCTTTTAGTGACTTTAGTAAGACCACAATGCTCGCTAGTAATGTTGAAAGTTTCGTAAGAATCTATTATTTAGCTACAGTATGGCGAATTTTCAAAAATCTGCTTACATGTCGCTTGGCAGCAACTTCAAATTATGCAGGAGGCTTTTCAATAGTACATTCTTTCACTTTGATGGTTGGATACACGAGAGTTATAACTTTCACTCACTTAGTGAGAGGAAAAGGAGCTCTATTAAGTCTGAAAGTTTGATTTCGATCATACCATGTACTAATTTTGGACAAATTTTCAAAAATGTTGGTTCCGCGCGCTCCAAAGGTTGATGGGAATCTGTCTATTACCGATTTTTATGCAAAATTTTTAAAAATCTGTTTCGAATTTAATTTTTCAACACTTTTAYATTATGCGGGATGCACGTTAATCATTCATTGCTTGTGATTAAAATTCGCAAAAGCTCCGTTTTTTTTTTGGCTGAGAAAAACGAAAGTTAGCTCTATTAACGCATTAAGTTTCATTTAGATCGTGCCATTATCTTCTGTGCTATTATTAAGTTTCTACAAATTTTAAGGATGTAACTGTGCTTAGAGGGATGAAATTATTGTTCGCCAATGTCCTTTTGATTACATTTTAAGGGATTTAATGAGAGTAATGTTTGCTTYCTATTGGAAATATGAAGGAAAACGCAGGAGTTTACGTTGAGCTCAATATGAGCAGATTGAAAGTCAATAAGAGAGTGGAAATAAATATATATCGTTCCTTACAGACATTAATAGATAGAAGACATACGAAGATATACAGTGTGTTTTTCATGCTAATATTGGAAAGGGGCGATAATTGGACCCACTAAACAAACACTTGAAACGAACGTATGCCGTAAATGTTCTAACTTTAGTGTGATTGTGTGATTCTTTTGATCTTAACGCTATTGTAGACCCTGAAGTAAAACGACTTTTGTTTCTCAAAGGAATAAAATAAGACGAAATAAAATCAAGGGGTCAAACTTTTGTATTTTAAGGCACCTAAAGCAGTCGAGTATTATTTTTTGTCCAAAAATGTTCAGGGCGGACGCTACTAATTTAATTAGTTAATTATTAATAATTAAATGAGTGTGTGTATATTAGAAAGCCAACCTTAATGAATTGAAGACATGCACAAAATTTCACACAGATATGGGCACAGTCGTTATAAAAAATAATATTTTTTACCGGAAATGTTAAGTGAAGGACTAGCGACCCCACAAGGTGTAAACATATTTTAATGGGGTTGATTTTCAATCGCGCATTTAACGGCTTTTGCTGCTTCTTTGTCAGTCGACTATCATGCAAAGAGATTCAGTCGATGTGTTTACATTTATTATGGAAGATGCGTATTAAGAAAATTGTTTATGATTTTCGAATCTTATTTTTTACTGAAATTAGTCACTTGTGTTATGTATTTTGCTTTTTATTATTATATTTAACTTATTTGACGAAATGTTCACGTATTAATGCACAACAATAATTCTTTAAGATATATATTTATTATGTATTTATACACAAATAGTTCGTAACAGTGCTGGCCTTCAACTCGAACTATCGTATTTCGTTGGTTCTTATATTGAAAATGGCCCATTTCTGTCCAAGAGATAAGAAATTTTATATCTTTTACAGTCAGTTTATAATAAAAAAATTATCAAAAAATCACAGTTTTCTTTTAATTGAGAAAGAAATTGCAAATTTTAACAATTAATAACTTACTTAATTCCGATAAGGACCCCAGATAAAACGTCTTGTTATCTTACATGTAAAACTTTTCAACAACAGCGAACAGTTTGTATACATTTTTGAATTTTATTTGCTATTTTTCCTAGTCAAAACCTTGAGGTCAACATCGTTCACTTTCTCCTCCAAGTCCCAATCTTGTCGCTTTCCACTGGCAAAGAGGACAAAAAATATGGCCCCAAAGAAATACAATCCTGCGGTTATATAGAAAATTATCCTCCATTGTTCCACCGTCTACAGACAAGACATGAGCTAAATATTAGTTTCTCAATAGGTGAAACCTGTAGGGAAAAGGGGGAAAATTGAGAAAAAATAGACGCGCAGGAGAAAAATCACTAGCAGTAGAAAGCTGGATGCAAGCAATTGAGAAATATTTAGGATCAGCTGTGAGTTAATAAATGCATGAAAAGCCGCGCGTTGATTGATGATGAGTTTGGAAAATTGCTAGAAGCACATTAGTGAAAGTTTTGGCTAAAAATTAAATTTATCCAGAAAAATTTCTGATAGTGAGCATCAAAACTTGCACAATTTGTAAGGCATTTATTCCCAATTAAATGCTTTTCCAGAGACAATTTCTTTCTGAATGCTCCGATTTATAATTAGTTGATACTAAAAACGATATTAGATGATAACAAAACTATCCCCCAATTCAGCGTTAATTGTAAACAATATTAATGGAGCTTTCGAGATTAAGAGCTCCGGTTCAGTTGCATTTTTGGASATATCAAAAGCTTTTGACTGGATGAGGCAGAAGATACTTTTTTGGGAACTGAAAGAAGCGACTGAAATCCGTTTCGCAATGAAACAAAACAACGAAAACTTAAAATCGCAACGTTTGCTCGCTTTGCATATGCAGGTGATACAGTTAGAGAGAKAAATCAACCAAGGAACAAGAGCTAACGAAACAAACATACACATAACTTCATCAGAAAGAGACTGGGTTTTACTAAGGACACTAAAAGGGACTTATAATTAGTGAAATTTCCTCGATTATGAGCGAGAAGTACGGGAAGAACCGACTCTTGAAACCAATCATATCATTATTTTCAAGCCAATATGARCCTATGRTTCCAAAGCAAAGAACTAAGGTGMTTTGGTAACGATCACGTCAAAGTACCAACTCTGGTATAAAGAGGAGCATCAAAAATTAACTCTGAAGGAATTAAGGGAAGAATCCAGTTCTAGTGGCTACAAAACTTGTTTCAYCCTAATCTACAGATTTTCAATCAAAGGGGACGTTATTCAGGTAGTAGGTTTATCAGGATGTGTAGAGCAGATCTACACACGCTGAGATAGGAATTATCAGAAAGGTTAGGAACAGTCGAGCATTTCCTGCTTACCAACAGTATAAAGCCGATTACCAACCAAACCAAAGCAAACAAATAATTAAACAAGCGAAAAACTCTAAACTTACCGGATTATCCGTTGAAATAACATATCCAGCAATAGTCGGACTGATAATGCCAGGCACTGTTCCCCAAGTATTGGCAATCCCAAACACCAAGCCAGAGTGAAGAGGAGCAATATCCAGCGCGTTTACTCTATAGTTAAGAAATGTATCTTACCGACTTACCTGAAAGGTTAAAGCTTGCTCTTACCCCACAGTTGCAATAGCAAAAGCCCCCAAACCCACAGCCATTGCAAGGCAAAAGACCGTCCCAGCCGCCTGTCCCCAAAAGGCTGCGCCTAACATGAATCCGGTCTGCGAAAAAAATCCGATGCACATAAATGTCTTCCTGGTTTTGGTGAGTGTTAGCCATTTTTTCGCGATAATTCGATCGGCCAATTGACCGCACACATGCATCATAATCGATATGGAAATATAGGGCAACGCCGAAGCCAGTCCGGACTTGGAAATGTCGAACTGAAAAACATCTGAAACATTTTTTAATCAGCAATCGCAAATAAATTTGCTGATTTTGTTCCACCTTTGAAATACTTGGGCAGTAGAGTTAGCAGCGTGTAGAAGCCCCAGGTTTCGCAAAACAGGGCCACATTCAGCGACCAAACAGCCCCAGAGGTGAACAAAGCCTTCCATTGAACTTTGTGCGCTTTGGAAACTTGCGAGGCTCTCAGCGAGTGTTCAATGTAATCACGCTCTTCAGGCGATATTTTAGGGTCGGTTTGAGGAGATTCGGATGTCGCGTACACCCAGGCAGCAAACCACAACAAACCTACAGACCCTATGGGAGGAAAACTCCTCATCAACACCTAGGGAGATAATCTGGGTCAATTGAGGTTACCGGAGAACCAAAAAATGCTCCTCCAGCCGGCGATTTCTCCTAGATAGGCGAAAAACATCAGAGCAAACACGGCTCCTAGGTAACTCCCAGACATTGCTTGCGTTGTCGATCTGCTACGCTCAGAAGGAGGAATCCACTTTACCCAAAGCACATACAAGCTTGAGTAAGTTACGCCCTGAAAAAGTTTACTTTACTTGAAATTTTGATGATCAAAATGACTCGCCAAATGAACTGTAACATGAAATGTAACAGACTAATTTTTTTTTTAAATAGCTAAAATTTTAACTGTGCTCTTATCAAAATGCATCTTGTGTAATCCTACGAAACAACATCAGTCCACATGTCCAGGCAAGGTTTGAAGTTGCTTCATTTGGTTGAACCAAAATCAATTTTTTACCAACGATCTGCAGGCAAAAAAGCACATTTTTGCCTAAGGTCTAAGGCATTGAAAGGAATCACTTTTCTTCGCATACAGATTAAATTTAAAGCTTCATTCTCCACTGCCTCAAAATAAAAGGTTTTTCGGACAAAACCCCGGAATTTTGGGCAGTTTTTTATGTGCGCTACTTTCCCAGTACATTCTTGAAAAGGTCGTTTCTCAGGAACCACATAACATATCAACCTTAGACTTCTAGTAGTCTTTAAAAGAAGCTTCGCTTTAGTTATGGTGCAAACTTGAGTCCAATCTAATAAAAAGTTTCCTTGCGATGAAGTCCGAAACGTTGGGCAGCCTTTGCGTGGTTTCTACACTTTATTCGTCAAGGAGTAATTTCTCAAGAACGTGATGAGATAGCAGCTTGTGGCTGGCAGCGGCTTTTAAATCACGTTTCACTTGAAATATGGTGTAAACTTCGGTAAACTCTTGCTAATAGTTTCTTCGGAATAAATTCAGAAATTTTGGGCAGTTTTCTACTTTGAGGAAATTTCGAAGTACATTTTTCAAAATGCAATTTGTCAAAAGCCAGTTGAGATATCAAGTTGCGGCTTCTAGCAGCGCTTAAAGGAAGCTTTACTTTATGGTGCAATCGTTAGCAGAATCTAGTAAACATTTTCTGCGGATTGAGCAGCAGAACTTTGGGTAGTAATATACTTTGCGCAGTTTTCGCAGGACATTTTTCAAGAATACATTTCTCGAGAACTAATTGAGATATTACGTGGACATGTCTAGGGCCTCTAAAGAAAATACTGCTTTAATTATCGTATGAATTTGAGCAGAATCAAGGAAAACATTTATTCGACATGAATTCCAGAACTTTGGCTTATTTTTCCACTTTGTGCTGTTTTTGAAGTAGTTGCTTCAAGGAGCAATTTCTCGAGGATGAGTTGTTGTATAAGACTGCGGCTTTTAGCAGCCTTTAGAGAAAGCTTTAGTTTAATTGTGGTGCAAAGTTGAGAATAATCTACTAAAACATTTTGGCTTTATGAATTCAGGAACTTTGAGCAGATTTTGACTTTGTGCGGTTTTTGCAGAATATATTTCAGGAGAACCTTTCTTAAGAGCTAGTTTGCATATTCGCGTTCTACTTCTAGCAGCTCTTAAAGAACAGTTTGCGTTAGTTATTGTGTGAGTTTTGGCAAAATTGAGCAAAAAGTTTCTTCGAAATAATTTCCGGAACTTTTAGCAGTTTTGTAATTTGCGCGATTTTTGCAGTACATTCTTCAAACGACTATTTCTCCAGTACCAGTTAAGAAATCAGCTTACGGGTGATAGCAGCCTTTAAAGAAACTTTTACTTTAATTATGGTGCAAACCTGGGTAGAATATCGTGAAACCTTACTTCGGAGTGAATCCCGGAACTTTGGGAAGTATTTTATTGTGTGAGGTTTCGGCAGGATATTTTTCAAGAGGTCATTTCTCAAGAACTAGTTAGCATATCAGTTTAATGGTTTCAGCATCCTTTAAAGAATGTTTCATTTCAATGATGGTGTGAAATTAGACAGAAATTAGAAAAAAGTTTGTTCAGAATGGATTCCCGAACATTGATAAATTAATTACTTTGTGCGGTTTTTACAAGATATTTTTAAAGAGGCTATTTATCAAGAACCAGTTGAGATGTTAGCTTGCCACTTCCAACCTCATTTAAAGAAAGATTCACTTTAATAATTCTGTGAAATTGGGCAAAATTTAATAAAGAGTTTCTCCGGAATAAAATTCTAAACTTTGGGCAGTTTGCTACTTTGCGCGGTTTTTGCCGGACATTCTTGAAGCGGTCGCTTCTCAAGTAGCACTTGAGATAACAACTTTCGGCTGCTAGTTCCGTTTAAAGAAAGCTTTACATTAATTATGGTACACACTTGAGCAGAATCTAGCAAAAAATGTATTCGAAAGGATTGCCGAAACTTTGGGCAGTATTTTACTTCATGAGGTTTTCGAAGGACCTTTTTCAAGAGGCGAAATCTCAAAAACCAGTTGAGCAGTTAGCTTGGCACGTATAGCGACCTCTCAAGAAAGCATTACTTTACTTATCATATGAAATTGGGCAGAATCTAGCAAAAAAATTTTTCGAAAGGATTGCCGACACTTTGGGTATTTTACTTTGTGCGGTTTTTGAAGGACATTTTTCAAGAAGCCATTTCTCAAAAACCAGTTGAGGTCTGACTCGTCCAGCGGCCTCTCAATAAAGCATTACTTTAATTTTCATAATAAATTGGACAGAATCTAGTAAAGTATTTCTTCGGCATGAATTCCGGAACTTTGAGTTATTTTTCCACTTTGTGCTGTTTTTGAAGTAGCTGCTTCAAGGGACAATTTCTCAAGAACGAGTTGTTATATAAGATTGCGTCTCTCAGCAGCCTTTAGAGAAGGCTTTAGTTTAGTTATGGTGCAAACTTGGGAAGAATCTAGTGAAATTTTTTGGCGTAATGAACTTAGGAACTTTGGGAAGATTTTTACTTTGCGCGGTTTTTGCAGTATCTTTTTCAGGAGACTATTTCTCAAGAAGTAGTGAGCAAAATCGCGTGGTACTTTGAGCGGCTCTTAAAGAAACGTTTGTTTTAGTAACTGTGAGTTTCGGCAAAATTAATCAAAGAGTTTCTTCGAAATGAATTCCGGAACTTTTGGCAGTTTTCTAATTTGCGCGGTTTTCGTAATATATTTTTCAAGAGACCATTGCTCCAGTAACAGTTAAGAAATCAGCTTGCGAATTGCAGTAGCCTTTACAGAAAGCTTTACTTTATTCATGGTGCAAACCTGGGCATAATTCAATAAAACCTTTCTCGGAAAAGTTCGGAAGGAATACCGGAACTTTGGGGAGTAATTTATTGTGCACAGTTTCGATAGGACATTTTTCAAAGGGTGATTTCTCAAGACCCAGTTTGCATATCAGCTTGCCGCTCTCAGCATCGTTTAAAGAATGCTTTATTTCAATGATGCTGTGAAATTAAGTACAAACTAGTAAAAAGATTGTTCGGAATGAACTCCGGAACATTGGGAAATTAATTACTTTGCGCGGTTTTTGCAAGACATTTTTTAAGAGGCCATTTCTCAAGAATCAGTTGAGATGTTGGCTTGCCATTTCCAGTCGTATTTAAAGAATGCTTCACTTCAATCATTGCGTGAAATTGAGTAAAATTTAGTGAAAAGTTTCTTCGGAATTAATTCCAGGGCTTTGGGCAGTTTTCTACTTTGCGTAGTTATTGCAGTACATTCTTCAAGCGGTGGTTTCTCAAGTAACAATTGAGATTACAATTTGCGGCCGGTAATTCCCTTTACTCTAATTTTGAAGAAGCCTTTACTCTAATTTTGTTGCGAACTTGAGCCGAATCTAATAAAGGTTTCTTCGAAATGATTTTCGGAACTTTGGGTTATTTTTCCACTTTGTGCTGTTTTTAAAGTAGCTGCTTCAAGGGGCAATTTCTCGAGAACGAGTACTTATATAAGATTGTGGCTTTTAGCAGCCTTTATAGAAAGCTTTAGTTTAATTATGCTACAAAGTTGAGAAGAATTTAGTAAAATGTTTTGGCTTGATGAATTCAGGAACTTTGGACAGATTTTGAGTTTGCGCGGTTTTTGCAGAATATATTTCAGGAGAACATTTCTCAAGACTAGTTTGCATATTCGCGTTCTACTTCTAGCAGCTCTTAAAGAAAAGTTTGCGTTAGTCATTGTGTGAGTTTTGGCAAAATTGAGTAAAAAGTTTCTTCAGAATGATTTCCGGAACTTTTGCCAGTTTTGTAATGTACGCGGTTTTTGCCGTACATTCTTCAAGCGACCATTTCTCCAGTACCAGTTAAGAAATCAGCTTGCGGGTGGTAGTAGCCTTTAAAGAAACTTTTATTTCAATTATGGTGTAAATTTGGGCAGAATATAGTGAAACCTTAGTTCGGAGTGAGTCCCGGAACTTTGGGCAGTAATTTATTGTGTGAGGTTTCGGCAGGATATTTTTCAAGAGGTCATTTCTCAAGAACTAGTTTTCATATCAGTTTGATGGTTTCAGCATCCTTTAAAGAATGTTTCATTTCAATGATGGTGTGAAATTAGACAGACAATTAGAAAAAAGTTTGTTCAGAATGGATTCCCGAACATTGGTAAATTAATTACTTTGTGCGGTTTTTACAAGATATTTTTAAATAGGCTGTTTATCAAGAACCAGTTGAGATGTTAGCTTGCCACTTCCAACCTCCTTTAAAGAAAGATTCACTTTAATCATTCTGTGAAATTGGGCAAAATTTAGTAAAGAATTTCTCCTGAATAAATTTCTAAACTTTGGGCAGTTTTCTACTTTGCGCGGTTTTTGCCGGACATTCTTAAAGCGGTCGCTTCTCAAGTAGCACTTGAGATAACAACATTTGGCTGCTAGTTCCGTTTAAAGAAAGCTACACATTAATTATGGTACAAACTTGGGCAGAATCTAGCAAAAAATTTATTCGAAAGGATTGCCGAAACTTTGGGCAGTATTTTACTTCATGAGGTTTTCGAAGGACCTTTTTCAAGAGGCGAATCCTCAAAAACCAGTTGAGCAGTTAGCTTGACACGTATAGCGACCTCTCAAGAAAGCATTAGTTTAATTATCATAAGAAATTGGGCAGAATCTAGTAAAACATTTCTTGGGCATGAATTCCGGAACTTTGAGTTATTTTTCCACTTTGTGCTATTTTTGAAGTAGCTGACTTCAAGGGACAATTTCTCAAGAACGAGTTGTTATATAAGATTGCGGCTTTTAGCAGCTTTTAGAGAAAGCTTAAGTTTAATTATGGTGCAAACTTGGGGCACTTTGTGAAACATTTTGGCGTAATGAATTCAGGAATTTTGGGAAGATTTTAACTTTGCGCGGTTTTTGCCGTATATATTTCAGGAGAACATTTCTCAAGACCTAGTTTGCATATTCGCGTTCTACTTCTAGCAGCTCTTAAAGAACAGTTTGCGTTAGTTATTGTGTGAGTTTTGGCAAAATTGAGCACAAAGTTTCTTCGGAATGATTTCCGGAACTTTTAACAGTTTTGTAATTTGCGCGGTTTTAGCAGTACATTCTTCAAACCACCATTTCGCCAGTACCAGTTAAGAAATCAGCTTTGGGGTGGTAGTAGCCTTTAAAGAAACTTTTACTTTAATTATGGAGCAAACCTGGGCAGAATATAGTAAAACCTTAGTTCAGAGTGAATCCTGGAACTTTGGGCAGTATTTTATTGTTTGGGGTTTCGGTAGCATATTTCTCAAGAGGTCATTTCTCAAGAACCAGTTTGCATATCAGTTTGATGGTTTCAACATCCTTTAAAGAATACTTCATTTCAATGATGGTGATGATATAACTACTTTCCGCTATTAGTAGCCTTTAAAGAAAGCTTTGCTTTAATTATAATACAAACTTGAGCAGAATCTAGCAAAAAACTTATTCGAAAGGATTGCCGAAACTTTGGGCAGCATTTTACTTCACGCGGTTTTCGAAGGATCTTTTTCAAAAGGCCATTTCTCAAAAACCAGTTGAGAAGTTAGCTTGACACGTCTAGCGACCTCTCCAGAAAGCGTTGCGTTAATTATCATAAGAAATTGGGCAGAATCTAGTAAAACATTTCTTCGGCATGAATTCCGGAACTTTGGGATATTTTTCCCCTTTGTGCTGTTTTTAAAGTAGCTGCTTCAAGGGACAATTTCTCAAAAACGAGTTGTTATATAAGATTGCGGCTTTCAGCAGCCTTTAGGGAAAGCTTTAATTTAATTATGGTCTAAATTTGGGAAGAATCTAGTGAAACATTTTGGCGTGAATTAAGGAATTTTGGGAAGATTTTTACTTTGCCCGGTTTTTTCAGTGTAATTTTCAAGAGACTATTTCTCAAGAACTAGCAAACAAGTACCAATCTTGAAATCAATTTTTCAGTGTTTGGTAGGAAGTACCTACTTACCTCAAACACTCCCATGAGTATCCGGGCTACTAACAGCGCATAAACGCTGAGTTCCGCCAGCCAAGGGCTGATTAAAGTAACCAGGGCAGTAACAGCAATGCCTCCACCAAAAACCAACTTTCCTCCGATTTTATTCCCAATTAAACCTCCGAGTAATTGCGTAGTGATGTAACCGTAAAAGAAGGAGCTCAATATGTAGCCCTGGATAACGTTGTCCCACTCGAACTCTGGACCCTGGAATGTTGAAGAGATTGAGCCTAAGATTTTTAAGTTTCTTTTCACTTACTATATTAACTACGGTTCCATTGCCTAAAGTTGTATAGCGGTTTTGGGTCATAATCACAATCCCGATGCTCATGTTGGTGCGAAGAAGGTAAATGTTGAAGTAACCGCAAAACACCAACATTGTCAGCACGTACCTTCTTTGCGTCCATATTTTCCATGTAGCGGCAGGTTTTCTAACAGAAAGAATAAATTACACCAGCAGTCCACGAAAATATAACTCAATCTGCCTACTTATCCTGATCAGTTTTGCCACTTTCCATAATATAAAGGCTTAGAAGTTTGTATAATGTAACACATACACATAAGTTGACCGCTAAGTACCAAAAATCGACAATAATAAATGAATAAATACTTATAATATTGTCTGATTCGTCGTATAAGTCTTAGGGTTATCTTTTCCCACTGTCTGCGTTTTAATCGCAGACTTAACTTTTATGGTCGGTTTTAAAGTGAAACTGTGATTTTACTACGATATCAGTTTTGCTCATATGAAATGATTAGATAAATATGTAATTCAAAGAGTAAATTGGATAATTTTCTTAAAACAGTTGACAAAGTGCAAGCAAGAAATCTTACTTGCGGCTTTAATAAAACCGCTCTATATACAAAATAGAAAAACAAAATTGATAGAGTCTGTCAGAGTTTCTGTGTTTTACGAACATTCATGTGAACCAATGAAGTAGGATTAAACAGTTTTAAGTAAATTAGACCGGAAAAACTGTAGGGACTAAATTAAAGAGTGAATTCCACAGAAAGGCAGATACGAATCACATTCGAAGTGGAAGCCGGAAGTATGGACTGAAAAAGTAATGTAAGGAAAATCAGATGTTGAGTGAATATGATGATTAGAATCGATGAAAGCAGCCTATTAAGTACTAAAGCACTTAAAAGATGTGAAACTGCTAAATTGTTGACACAATATTCTAATAACCTCGAGAGGGAAAAAATGATACTTTAAAGCATCTAAAAGTGAAATTTTATCGGACCATTCCGGTGCAAAGGTGTCGAGTTTGGCATCAAAAATGAACCAAAACTTTCAGTATTTCTTATAAATTAGTTTGTTTTTATTTTCGGTTTGCTTCACCTTTAAACTAGCGCCAAATTCCCCGCTTCTTTCGTTCATTGAGAAGCGAATTGTGCAAGTTTAGTAAAGTTTTTCTTAACGAGGGCATTTTTTAGAAGAAGAAATTGCGGAATGCTTAATATTACAGCGCAAAGTTTCAGTAACAATCGTTTGCGAATAAACTTTTATACACAAAACCCTCAATTCTGTAGATTAACATTTGAAAAAGTGATTTGTCAACTTTATAAGTGTTTTCCTATTATATAAGTATTTACATTTTTATATTAGACAAGGTCTCATTAATTTTTTACGTTTGTAGATCATTTATAGTTTAACATCGAGTTTAATTGCAATCGAGATTAATTGCAAAATAGTTGAGTTAAGAAGCTGGGATACCGATATTTTTAACGCGAAAAATGTTTCCTGAAAGATAGAAACCATATAACACGCTCTTTTCTTCAAGATATAAAATTCATCTGCAGGCCTACATATATAAAATGCCAAAAACTATCCCATTACGACTTAAAGTACAGAGTTTCATTAACCATTATTCAGATAATCATCCATTAACATTTCAGTCACCTTGCATGTTTATTTATAACTTTTTGTTGTTCTACATCGTATCGTCGTGCTGGAATCAATTAAATAAATAAATAAATCCTCACTCATGGCCCATAAGATAAGAAGCGGAAAGTGAGTGGGGAATCAAATAGTACTGTTTGTAAATTTGCTCATTCCATCAGGCAAAAACTTTTTTTAAATTCCAAAAAAATTCCAAAAATTGCTGATTTGAATTCATGCATTTAACTTAAGGCGAAACTTCGCTCGTTTGAGCTTTAGAAAACAACCATTTCCCACCTTTAATGATTCTTAAAGAAAAAAAATCTGCGAATGTTAAATCCGGCAGTTTCGATGGTCAAACCGTTCACACACAGCTCTGGACGGTTGATTTTTAGAGCATTTTTTCTGCGACTGTGGATATATTCATGACTTTACTAATAGTTTTCAAGGTATCGAGCTTAAATTTGCTAAATAGCTACAGTTCTTGCAGGATAAAGCCTTTGCTGAATGAATGTTCATCAGCCCGCGCCCAGAACGTTATGTGACTAATGAGGTTTTATGGAAAAGCCTAACCTCTAAAGAGACGGAAGTCAAAAATTCATGAATTAAAGTGCCTCGAAAGTTTCACAAATTAAATCTAGAAAATGGCTAATAAGATCTGAATAATCATGAAGATTTCTTCGAGAGTCTTCTCTCATTGGGCTTTCACTTTATGAAAGTTAGGCTGATATTTCTAATCTTTATAAAGATAGAAGGTCCAATGTTGAATTTTACTGGATATTGTCGAAGCTTTTCAACCCTCTATCTCCGAAACTGTTAACCAAACTGAATAAACATTGGAAACTTTTGGAAAGGTTGTGTTAGGTTTTATCAGGAATTGCTAATCTCTAAAAGTTAAACGCAAAATTAAGTTGAACGATTCCACAATTTAATGGAAAAAATGGATATTTTGACTAAAGAAACAGAAAATCGAACGAAATAGTAAATTATCTTATATCATCTTTAAATAAAAGTATTAAAGGTTGAGCTCTTTGCAAGCTCCTCGATTGATTCATATTGTTTTCAAAGCGAAAACTTGATGATTTGCTCAAGGAGTTTTGGCAAAAATGTACAGGTTTTGTTCATCAGCAACCGCTTTAAACAACCAACCAATAAGCTTTTACCTCATAGTCATGCTCTCAGCGTAGATAAAGAGTAAATAGTTAATTGCTTATTGCTTGCTTTGTGTCATTTTCCTGATCTGTATATTATTATTAAGTTTGTCGTTTTCTTCAACAAAGAACCTGAATAAGTAAGAAAAAAATTAAACATTAAGAGAACTAAAGAAAGGAGGATTTTTGAATTCCCATTTTACCCCCAAAATTTTGCATGATTTTTGAAAATCGTCAATTGCTCGCTTATTATCGATCGGAGCTAAAAAGTGAATGCCGACTTTTTTATGGGGCTTGAGACGGCCGATCGACGGTTAGAGTCAGTTCAGCTCTTTGGCTTATCAAGATATTGGCAGTTTTCTGAAACCCAAATTTTCGCGATTGTTGAAAGTGAAAAAATACCGTTTAGATAGTGCTCGATGAGCCCGCGATTTTATAAAGAATAACTTTTGTCCAATAGAAAGCTTCGTTTTTGAGACAAAAAATACAACGTAAAATTTCAAAAAAATCGCAAATACCCACAAAGATTGTTGGAAAATTTTGTTTCTAATTTTTTTTCAAACTCTTCCTTGGCAGGTTGTTAGACATGGAAAGGTTACAAGACAAATCGACTTTGGTTGGTTCAAAAATTGTTGTTTTAAATAACTCCATATAGAAAAAATCAAACTTTTAGAGTGTCAAACTAATCTATCGATAGGAGATCGATAATGTACCACCTGGGCTCTTATGATGGCGAAATTTTCATTTTGCTTTTTGAATGTCAAACACGCCGAATAATTGTTTTACTAAAAACGATTGTTTTGTTAATTGTTTTATTAATTAATAACATCCATTAGCTAAATATAAAAATAACTCACACAACTCACAGTCACAAAACTCCTCCAAGTGTTTCACTATTTTCAATTCTTCCATTAAATTTTGTTTTTGATAATAATTTTTAAAATTTTATTATCTGTCGAAGTGTCTTCCGAATTAAATTTTCTTCACTTCAGTTGACTTACAAAATGATCGATTCCAATGATTTTTCACACAAATGCACGGAAAATGAAGGATACAAGTACAAGTCAAGAAGCACAAAGAGACGAGTGCAACCAGATATAAAATGAAGTTTCGCCACTTGCAAATTTGCTCACAAAAAGAAAAATCTATAGATGTAAAGTCTGGATGCTTTGGCGGCCATTCAATTTATCCAACGCTCCGGCTACAGTGTTTTACAGATTTTCCAGATAATTTATCGCCTGTTGTTTCATTCGAGATGCAATTAGGTTCCCAAACACATCTGAACCCGAAATATTTTCAAGGATTATTCAGAGACAACGACTTTTGAACAGCTTCGTCGAGAGCGTCGAGTAGATGGCCGAAGATACTGTCAAATTTCATGGTTGAAAAGATTCGTGAGATCTGATGGACTGAAGCCATTAACCGTGGAAAAGATGCCTATCACGATTTCCCTTTTGAATGCCAATATCGGAGGCGGTCGTCGCTTACGAAATTTTCGCCTATTTTCGTCCAGTTTGGTCAGTCCACAGTTCTACCTGCCCAAGTCAACTACCTACCTAATTCTAATTGAGGTTTACCGGTACATTTTTTCGTCAATCTGCTAACACAGCACGAAATGTGCTAAACATTTCAATTTATTAAACCGATTAAAAATTGATCAGTTCAGCGAATCGTTAGTCTTTAGTCTGCGTTCATTAGGCGACCTTCTCCTATGTTATCTATGACGAGGCACATGTTTTAAAACATTAGTGATAAATTCTTCAAACGAAGTTTACCGTAACCTGCAAGCATGGGGACCCGGAGTCTTTTAAAAGACTGTTGGATACAGATTCTGGCCACTGTACTAGGTATGATTTTTAGTTCAATTTTTTAGGTGGAAATTTGAAAATTTGGAGGCTGGAAAGGTGAACTTATAGCACAACTGCCAATTAATTATGCTAAAAATAAGTTCAGTTAAGTTTAAAGAATATCGCACCGAATACGAGTGAAAGTAAAACAGAATTACGTTTTGATTTTTACAAATTCCAGTCATAATTAGTTAATAAGTAGTAGTTTAATTTATCAGCGCTCTAACTTTTATAAACGACATTTATTTCAAGTTTTATCGACGATTTTTTCGTATACTTTAACAAAAAACAGGTGAACGAGCTTCTTTTGCAATTGAGTTGCGAGTCCACGTTAAACTCTAACTCAAGAACTGAAAGTTAATGAAAACATGTTTTTTGCAAATAGGGAGCAAAACCAACTAAATTTTTTCAATACATAAATGACACTAACGAATAAACAAACGAGGATAATTTTTAACAAACTTTTATATCAATGTCTAATATTAATAAATTCGTGTTTTGTTCAAATATGTGTAGGTACACACTCTCTATGTGAGTGAGCTTTGAACTTGAACATTTCTCCTAAAGCAATTTAGAGATTTTATGGTTAAAATTACGGTTGCAGTCGTTTGTTTATCTTTGTCGTTTTTGTTTGCTCGTTCTTTTCATAGATTGTGTGGTAGATTTTGTGAAAGTCTTGTGGCATCCCTAGCTCAGAAGAAAATGAAACGAAAATTGTATTGTCGATGCAAATTTTCAGTTTGTAGACAAAAATACTTTGAGCTCTCATGCAAATTTTGGAAAAAAATGTACTATTCATGAACTTTAATATTTTCTGGGAAACCCGAAAATAATTGAAAGTTATGTTTAACTTAAAAAACGCTCAATTTAATGCTCTATTGTTTTTCGAATATAATCTAAAGACTACGAAAATGGACTACTTAATATTTGAGTTTAATATTGTCTATATTTACTTATTAATTAATTCTATATTTACTAGTAAAAAATTGAGCTTGATACGGTTTTTCAAGCAAGAGCTGAAAATTTGGGGAAAATGCACCATTAGATTTGCAGATTTTCTGAGAAAACGAAAATCAACTGAAAGTTATGGTTTATATGAAAAAATAGCTCAATTTTTGCGTTTTATTTGCGTGTTAGAAGTTGAGATTTGTAGCTGGGACGGATTTTCAAGTATGAACTACCCCAAATTTGGGAAAAATGAACTAAACTTTTCTCAGACAATATCGAATACCAATTGGTCTAAGAAAACAAAAAAACTGAAAATTGTATGGTATTTGAAAAAATAACAAAAATTGAATGCTCTACTTACTAGTAATAGATTGAGCTCTTACGGTTTATCTAATATGGGTTGAAAGCTACGAGAAATTTCGAAAAAAAGAGACTCATCTAGGCTCTAACATCAGACTCATCTAGACTCATCCACTTTCATGTAAAGGCATCACTATCCTTTACCATCCACTTGTAAAGTGATGTTTTTCATGAAAAATTTGCGCGATTTGGTGCTTTTTTTACTAATCGACAATGGAGCTTTGTAGCTCTTGCGGTTTTTCAAATATTAGCCAAAAAGTAGGTACGTAAAATTTGGGAGACATTTATCCATTAAAAGTGATGCTTTCCACAAAAAAACGTACAATTTACTGCTCTAAACAAATTGAGCTCTGTTTCTAATATTAAGTAAAAACTATGCCAAATTTGATCAAATTAAACCACGCTTGATTTTTATACTTTCTCCGAAAACCAATAACAACTGAGTTGTATTTTACCTGAAAAATAGCCCAATTAAAAGCTCTATTTGCTAGTAATAAACGCAATGTCTTAAATATGAGCTGAAAGTTACGCGAAATTTGGGAAAAATTGGTCCATCTAGAATGATATTTTCTCATAAACCTGGGATCAATTGAAAATGATGCCTTACATTAAAAATTCCTGAACAATAACGCAATTGAAAGCTATATTTGCTGGTTAAAACAGATCTGAGTAGCTCTTCCAGTGTTTTAATATGCGCTGAAGGTTGGAAAAATTGGCCCAGGTAGAATTTTTATATTTTTTTCTATCTTGGAGATCAATTGAAAATGATGCCTTATATTAAAAATTTGTCATATTTATTGCTCTATTTGCTGGTAAAAAATGAGCTCTGCGGCTCTTACAGTCTAATAATATGAGCTGCAAACTACACAAAATTCGTGGAAAATGGACTTGAATTTTAATATTTTTTCACGAAACTGGTATCGATTGAATGCGCTACTTTACATCAAAAAACGAACCACTTAATGCTCTATTGAACTGTAAAAAATTGAGCTGGGCAGCTCTTACGGGTTTTCTAATATTAGCTAAAAAATTCACAAATTTGGCCAAAATTCACTAAGCTTGGTTTTTGCATTTTTTGAGAAAACTAATAACAGTTAAAAGTTATATTTTACCCGAAAAACTGCGCAATATAATTTCTTTATCTCTATATCTATCTACTCTCTTTGCTACATTTTCTCTTAATCGATTTGCTAGTAAAAAATGGAGTCCAGTAGCTCTTACAGTTTCTGTACTGTGAGCTAAAAGTTAAGCAAAATGTGCAAAAAATAAACTCATTTTGTCTCAGAAAACTGGGGTCAATTGGAAGCGTTGTTGCAAAATTTAGTGCTCTATCTGCCAGTAAAAATGGAGGTCTGTAGCTCCTACGGGTTTTCAAATATCAGCTAAAAACTACACCAATTTTAGTCAAAATGAACTAGTTTTTTTATAATTTCTTAGAAAAAATTGCTTTATTTATTATTAAAAAGTTGAACTCTATAGCCCTTGCCGTTTATCAAATATGAGCAACAAACTACTGAAAATGTGGAGAACATGGACTGATCATGGATTTTTATTTTTCTGAAAAAACCGAAAACAATTTAATGTTTTTCTTCAGATGTGAAATTCTCAATTGTTAATCTGATTTCAAAATATAAGTTCTTCAGTTTTTTCAGGACTATTTGGTTTCACTGAATTTGAAAAATCGGCGAAAAATATATTTACAGTTTCATATTTAAACAGAAAACGTGTTATTTTATCAAATAAAAATAAATTCAATGAAACAATTAAGAAATAAATGCAAGGTTAATTCAATAGAAAATCTGGATTTAAAAGAAACGTACTTGCGAAAAGTCCTTAAAAATGTTACTACAATAGACATTATTAAATATGCAGTACTTTTACAAATTTCAAAATTGATCGTCGTAAACAGGGAAAAAATGACATCGAGTCCCGTTAACAATTCATTAGATTTACGACTAAAAAAGTCAGGCTGAATATCTAACCTTCCAATTAAGACAAACAATTTTTTAAGCATTTAAATTTTTGCGCTTAATTTCAATTTATCGGCTAATTGATTAAAATGTTGAACCGAATCAGATGCAATTTTCAATTAACGCTAAACCCGTTATAAACAAACGATTTTTTGTTCGGAGTTCAACTATTTATGATTAAATCAACCGATTGATGACCAAAACGCGTCTATACAGTAAAAATTAGTGTCTATTGATATCAAGGACGCATTTCAGTTGACAATTACCATTGTAATTAATTGGCCCATTAAAACGGTTTCTTTAACACAATCAAAAGTTGCAGACAATATTTATGTTTATAATGCTCAATTAGATGCTATTTTTATTCGTAGATGATTTATAACTGTATTTAATTGAAATATTCACACATGTGACTGCCGGGTAAAAATATGTTTCACTCTCTTATGATAATTTTTGGAGGAAACTGTTGAACAGAGAAAACAAAAAAACTGACAAGCCTTTGCAAAAGAAAGTTCTGACTGAATTCGGGTGAAGAATCCAATCAGGCAGGGATTCAAGCCAAAGTCTTCCGATATATTATTGTTTATATGCGCCATAAATTTATAGCATTTTTCGTGACACTGATAATATCTTAAACGGGGAAAAAATGACATCAAAGTAAATACAATTTAAATAATCTGAATTTCGTATCATCCTTTCAAGGCCGTGCAGATAATAAACAAGCGATGTTTTCTGAAGAATTCGACTTCGACTTGTTTTTGTCAATCGACTTCAGAATATTTTTAATTGAAATTCAAAAACGAGAGAAAAAAACCTGAAGTAAGATCAGCAGAAAAATGTCTAAATTCTAAAATATGTATGTATTTGCAATAAGAATGAAGAAGAATTATAGAAAAAGCATGTTAAATAAAAGACGTTTAGAAGCAAAGTAAATACCGTAATGCGTATTAGCAAAGTAGTATTTTGAAAGTGCCTTCACATAATGCAAATAGCAACGATCAGTGTCAGATAATACATTTCTAAATTACTGAAAACGAGTCGCATAAAAATGAATATTCGTCAGCTAATTTACCTGTAAAATGTCAACTGTTGTATGTATTACAATGTGTACTGAAATGCTCTAAACTGCATTACCACTGCTGTTTTACATATTTCCGCGATTATGCACGTAGAAATGCAGAATATCATTTAAATGTGACTGAGGCAACAAAATAAGTTTGTGAATTAAAGCTAGAACTCAATGTACAAAGTGATCCAAACATGATAAATTATATCTAAATTATATTATTTATTAATATTTGCGAAAATTAATAGAATAAATTGTTGTTTTTTTTTCAAAATCACTAATTAATTTTATTTAAATTCTATTCTACCCGCATTAAAAGCTTAGCATTTACGAAGTTAATTATTTTTAAAGGGATGTTATTGAAACATTTGCTGCATCGAAATTGTACTTATGGTAAAAGGATTATGATACTAGCACTTATAATTTAAATGTATTATATTAAACACATATTTTGTATGTGCATTTTTTACATTTTTTACAAATAAAAGTAGCAATATTCAAACGATTTGGTTTTCGGTATTTCGAACTTATTTATCTTGCTCAGAGTCATTTGTCTACAGTCAGTAAATGCTTTTTTGACCAGCGCAAATAATTTTTTTGTGGTCTTTGATGAAATTTGTGTTTCCAATTTTGTTACTTTAATATATTTTGTACAATAACATGTATTTCACATGCAGATTGTACAGCTAACGCAAAATTACAGTTGTTTTCTCTTTTTTAATTAAAGGAAATTGGTTTTTCACGAAAAGAACATCCTATTTTTTAATACGGATATTTTCATACAAATTGAAGTGGGAATTTGCAAAACCTTTATTAGAACATTTCCCAAAAAATACATCTGCAATGCAGATTCTGTGAGAATATCTAGGTGTCTCTTATTTTTTCGACAAAAGTAACATAAAAAATAAAAAAATTACTTCAAATGCAGGAAGACTCCAAATTGGCGTCACTGTTTTAAGGAATTACTCGGAGAGTACGGGAAAATGTTTAAAAATAAATTTATTTTAAAGAAGCATTTTATACTTTACCAATAAGCATAATTTGTCGTATGTGTGGTTTTAAGTTGGTGGTAACTAACTAAGAATAACTCAGTAATTTCGAACACCCACCTTCTTTGGGGAGACTGTAAATCTTTTAATATTTATACATGATAAATGCGTATTTTCCGTGTATAAATAATGGTTTTAAGAAAATTAATTCTTCTGAGAAAGTAAAAGTTGTTACACAATGTTAAAGTAACTGCAATTGAAGAACGTGTTGAATTTGTTAGAAACAAGCAAGCAACGCATGGAACCATTTAAAGGCTTTGCGTATAATTTCCTGCATCTCAAACTTTTGGCTACACTTTTATCGATCTGGTAACTTTTTTCAGCATGAAACTTTCCTATAAAAAGGAAAATTAATATAATTTATTGACGATTAGCAATGCATCAAATGTTTGGAAATTTACGTATAGTGAATTCAAAAATGATTCTTTTCCGGTATCTACGAACGAAAGTCGTTGACTTATAACAGTATTAAGATTAAATTGAATTTATCAAGATTTAAGCTCAAATTTTTCTGTAATCGTTTGATGATGATCCTTGGGCGTTTGGCCTGTATTAGATTACACTGAGCGGCTTATTTAACTATTCCTATTATCAATGTAACCATCAAGTTCTATTGAATTTTAAACCTTAGTTCCTAAAGCAAATACAAGTTTTCCTGAATCACTTTGAAAATTGGGCATTTTGATTCAGCCCTGATAAAAAAAGCCTCCAAAACGATAAACAGGATTGTATTTTCATCAGATATGTGTGTTTTGCGTGCTTTTTCGTTTGCTTAATGATACGATGATTCAGCTATTTTCAACCATTTCTGAGTTATAGACTGTTAAAGACTTGAACAGTTTGAGAATTGTTTTTGCACCATTTTTGCACCTATTAGAGGTGTGATAAACGGTATTTTTACAACGTTCCAGTTTCAACTTGGTAATAGGTTTCAAAATGCGGTTCCGAAAGGAACATGTTATTTTTTAATTTTTTCATTAAAACTGCACAATAATGTTGATAGTAGAAATGGTGATGATATATGATGATTTCCTTTATTAAAAACATAATTATTAACATTGGTAAACTTAAAATAAAATATTCTAAAATCAAAAACAAAACATGGGTCAGAAGTAACTACTTAAAATGGAGTGATTAAATAAAATATACGGTTTATATGCGAAAATGTTTAAAAATCTCATTGTTTAAAGATTAATTAACATTTAAGAATAATTTATTTGCAGATGCTTTTTACTGAGTCCAGTTCTTCGCTCGTTTATGATAGCACCCGCTTTAGAAAATAATCTATCGCATTTCGTGTCACAATAACATCAAACAGAAATGCGTGTTTTAGCAAACATGGACGAAGTATTACTCGAGTTAATTTTGGTACCACCAAAAAATACTTAAATAAAATATGTCGACCTTACAACGTCTGTTACTATTCAAATAACTTCATTCATTCATCGTCATTTCATCTCTGACTGAATTTATATTTAAAAATGGCCAGCTTGCTTAAATGCAGGTGCACATTCTGCTTAAAACGTTTGTTATTTTACATTTCCACTGTGAAGAAAATCTCTTTTTTTTAGAATCGTTACAAAATGTTAGAAAACTAAATACTTATAGACTAAAAATGCTGAATTATATCATCGCAGCAACTAAACAAATTTTCTCTGATCTGAACAAACTGAACAGTTCTCCAGGAACAGTGAATACGTGTGCGTATTATTAGGTAATACAGGTTCCACGTTTGGAACACTGTTATTTTAGCGGTTACGTTAAATACCGACCATCCCTATCACCTATTTCTTTGGAGGCCAGAAAGAACAATGAAACTTACTTGGTGAAATAGAGTTCTTGGGACCGGCTATGAAAAAAGTCTTCACAACGATCGATATTTTCAGTCCATCAAAAGACAGGACACGCTAAACTTCTCGGCCCTAGAAGGAAACACTGGCCTACTCCAAACTTCACTGTTTGCTTGAACTGAATTCAATCATTAAGTCAAAAGAGATAGACTTTC